TTTAACGAATATTCTGCATATCGAGGAAGGTAATCGAGATGAGTTGCAAAACACAGAACTGATTAACTTTTCGAAGCGTCGAAAAGTTGCCGATATCATAGCGGAAATCCAACAATACCAGAACCAACCATATTGCCTGAATATCAACGCGAAAATTAAAGTGAGTATTTAGTGTTTAAGTAAATAAATTTATATGAATAAATATTCATGTTCTATGGAAGTGTTTGCAGAGCTTCCTTGAGAATCTGGATCCATTCAAAGGAATGAGCAATGCGGCTATATTGGACTTTGTATTCAAAGAAAGTGAACGACTGGAACCGAAATACGCAAAGCAGCCAATTAAATTCGTACGTAGTTCCAAAACAGTAGTATTTTAAGTGTGTTGCTATTTGGATTAGAGTTGAATATAAAAAAAATTATTCTGAATTTCAGCAAAAAAAGTGGCGTGATGTACCATTAAAATCACCTGGAATAAAACCAAAACAAGAGTCCAAATCAAAATCAGGAGGAGCGTTCCATTTTGGCAATGAAAATAAGGTATGTGGCAGAAGCAGTGCAAGCGTCAACGTAAGTGATAATGAACAATCACCAAAGATATACGACTCTTCAACGACTCTTCTACTCACTCCAAAACAGTGCAAGGAAGAGGATACAAAGTTCGAAGGACAAGAGCTGATTACACTGAAAATATCTCAAATGAGACAAGCATCCGATGCACCCACTTTATTTCCACGCAACGCATCACCAGCACCACCAATTCCGACAAGAGAATGGAAGCATTTTGCAATGGACGTCGAACAAAGTCTTTATCGACTCTCCCTTCAACTACCCAATACTAGCACAATCATGATGCGCAGAAATTTGACGCCAACACCAAGACATTCGGCGGATGATGTGGGTTCAACATCGTACAGTACAGGATCAGTTGAAAAACCAATTGAATAAACCTCCACACGTACATATACAATACAGTGCGCAAAAAATGTTTTCGGCCACCTCTTTTTTTGCAATAAATTTGATTTTGACAGAAAACTATGACGTGTAGCTCCAAAAATTCCAATTTCAATGAAAAATCAAGGAATTTTACGATAGAAACATGTGCAGTTAACAATTTTTTTTGAAGCATATGATTTTTAAATCAAAAAAATATGACGAAACAAGTATTCGGCCATCCATACAAAAAAATTGACTTTTCAGCGAAAAAACGATTATTTGAATAACTTTTCGAGCTCTGATTTAAACCAAAATTGCATGGCATATTCAGAACATATCAAGTTACAGTCTACAATTTCATTTGTTGAACTATTACAGCTGATGACTGTTTTCGACACCCTACCATCAACGTCGAGAAAAAAATAACGTTTTTCCATATAAAATTGTCAGTTTTTTTCTCGACGTTGATGGTAGGGTGTCGAAAACAGTCATCAGCTATAATAGCACAACAATAATACTTTTTTGCCCTTCTTTTAAAATCAAAAATCATATGCTTCAAAAAAAATTTGTTAACTGCACATGTTCCTATCGTAAAATTCCTTGATCTTTTCAATGAAATTGGAATTTTTGAGCTAAGCGTCATAGTTTTCTGACAAAATCAAATTTATTGCAAAAAAAGAGGTGGCCGAAAACTTTTTTTGCGCACTGTGTATGATCGTGACTTCGCATCAAGGTCTTATACAAAAATTTTACTTTTTTATATAAAAATCGTCTATTAATCTTTCGAAGACGGAATCTTTAAATTTTAGCCAAGTTCTTGATTTGAGCAATCAGATGAGTTAGTGAATTCATTGAAAGAATATAGTCACGATTGAAAAAAAAACTATTAATCATCATTAAAATTTATGAAATAAAGGATTATCCCCACCAAATATCACCAACACGAACTATTTTTAATCGTCGTAAAAAATGCATATCAAAATTCTTCTTTTCAGTTAATTCAAAATGCTTTATATGTGAATCTAGTATTTCATTGAGAATCACTCAAAATGAACTATAGATTTACAGGCATTAACATACTAATGTTATTAATTATTAAAATATTATTAACGGGGCGTTAATAACTCAAACATAACATATTATTAGATTAATAAGATTCTACCATATTTTAACATATTATCTTATTATTAATAAGATCACCATTTTATTAAAAAGTTAATAAGATTCATCTTATTATTAATAAGATTCATCTTATTATTAATAAGATAATCTTATTAAAATATTAATAAGAAAATCGGATTTTACTAACCAATTTTCAAAAAAAAATTGCGAAGAAAAGTTTCATACTAAAAACATATCAAATATCCTCAAACGACGAAATATTGAAGAAAAATGCATCTGACGATATTTGATATGTTTTTAGTATGAAACTTTTCTTCGCAATTTTTTTTGAAAATTGGTTAATAAAATCCGATTTTCTTATTAATATTTTAATAAGATTATCTTATTAATAATAAGATGGATCTTATTATCTTTTTAATAAAATGGTGATCTTATTAATAATAAGATAATATTTTAATAATATCGTAGAATCTTATTAATCTAATAATATTTATGTTATGTTTGAGTTATTAGAAATTTTCCGATATTTTGGTTATTAACATATTAATAACATATCGAAAATGTAAATCTATAAAATGAACAGCAAAGTTATCACATAAACCAACTCTGCAATGAGTAGATCATGATCAACTGGTGAGTGCACTTACGATCCCGTTGAGTGGAGAATTGATTAAAAAACGAAACAATTATAAAACGTATTCTCAAGTGTTCATAATTTGATGAGTGCTGGAAAAGAAATATCATCTCAAATTATTATTCTTACGGTGAAAATATCTTATTTTCAAATATTCATTTTGGTAACAAACATTCCTTTTATAGACAAGAGAGTTTTTCTTTTATTGGCAATGTTCGTCAAGATTTATCCCCAAGTAATACCCAAGTATTACACAATTTGGATAGTTTGTTGAACGATCTCGCTTACAAAGCTATACAAAGTATTGAATATATTGATGTGTCGGCAAAGGAACGGGCTGATTTTTATTCTTTTTATTTATAAATCATTTTCATTATGTCTTATAAATGAGCTAATTATAATAATTTTTTTTATCTAACAAATAATTTTTTTTTCAAAGCATTTCATACATATATGTGTGCTTAAACATGTTTGCTAACGCAATGAACTAAAGAGAAAAAATGTATGAAGAAGCAAAGGGTGAAAACAAAACGAATTATATTGGCAATAAAAAAAAAATAGATCAAATTTCAGAAGAAAAAAAAATTATGCAAATGAACAGAACAAATAAAATTGTTAACGAAAACGTAAACTAAAGCTTTTTTGCTTTGACGCTTTAATTTGCATTGAAATCGGACCATATCACGACTTGACCATCCAATCCAGAAGTGCTGATTTTGCGAACGCCCGACCGTTTATCACCTTCGTAGATTGCAATGCATGCGATTGCATTTTGATGAATCGAATTCAAATTGGCATCATCGTTTTCGGTACGCAAATTACGATCCAGCGACTGAAAGATTTTCATGGCCGATACACCGGTCGATTCCTTCTTTTGAGCCTGATCCAATTTACCCTTCAATTTTATCATTATTATTATTATTATTATTATTATTATTATTATTATTATCATTATTATTAACCTTCAACATAATCTTATTGTTTTGATCCACCGAATAGATGATTGGAATGCAACTGTGGCCTGCAACAACGACATCAGTCGGCGAAACCCAATGACAGTCCAAAAATGGTAAGAATTCCGTTTTTAACTTGACAACGGACGTTCCGTTTGCTGCATCACCAATGTTGATGGCACTATCATGTCCCACCCAGCAGATTTTGTTGCCATCACTGGAGAAACTGACACTGTGCACCCATCCACCGCCTTGGTTGCTATTCTTGAATTCGGCCATCAATTGGCCCAACGGCATTCTATTTCCCCATGGCGTCGGCGACGGTTGACTTTCGATATCTTTAATGTAGGCCGAAAAGACGCGTGCCTTGTAATCCGTTGAACCAGCCACAATCAGTACCTGCAAAGTGAAGACAAACAATCACCAAATCATATAAGAAGTGTCCATTATTCTTTCGAAGGGGGAAACTTCAAATTTTAGCTATGTCTTGGATTTTACTAGCCAGTTGAGTTAATGATTTCATTTAAAGTATATACTCACATTGTTTGGATGCCAGTCCAATGACGTTATTGTCGACCGGATCGGCTTTTTGATGTGCTTCGATACCCACCAGTCGTTCTCCGACTCGAAATAGCAAATCGAAATGAGTCGGGCGCCAGAGCCGACGGCAATTTTATTTTCTTGCGGTGACCATTTCACGCAAGTTGCACCACGATTTATACGTAATAGCACCAAAGTCGGTTTAAATTTTCCCTGCTCATTTTGCGTCCAAACGTAGGCGTTTCGATCAATACCGCACGTTACAATACGATTGGTGTTTGGTGCCCAATCGATTCCCATCACACGTAAATCATGTTGTCGCAGCACATCAAGCAATTTCCAATCAGATCCATCTCGCTTGTAAATATGCACCTCATTATTGTTTGGCGAAATGGCAATTTCTATAGAGTAAAAAAATATTTAGCAAAACGAATTGGTGATGAGTAATTTATACTTGTGCGCGAATGATAAACCGCGATTAGTCATTGCATCCGCATCAATCATGTTTTGGTTATGTTTTGCGTTTTGCTCTGCTTGAGCGGCAGCAACAACAACACCAATGCTGACTCAGCAATGAAACATAATTCGATTATTTTATCAACACTTACGGCTTCGATCCTTATTCCATGCATGGCATGTAATTGGACTGACATTTCCGTTGAAATTAAACTTTTCAATCATGTTTCCACGAGATTTTCAATCGAGAGAAAACAAATCGATGCGATTCCAAATGCCGTGCAAATTATTGATATGGATTTGTTTTTATGGTCAAGTAGCCAACACCCTACTTATATACTTTGGTAATTGGAACACAGCTTTCACAGTTGATTTTCGTGTTTGAATTTAAAAAAATCAAGCAATTGGTCGATTTCTCTTATATTCGCGGACTCTGGACCGTCAACACGAATGCTAAATTAACTATGGAAAAACGAATTGATTTAGGAAACAAAACAAAAGAGTTGTTACTGAGGTGTTGATTTGCGTGAAACTGAACTGTGGGAGATGACTGTGTAATGACAGTATGCGGCAGCATAGTTTCAATATTCACCGCCAGGCCGCATTGCAAGCGTCAGCAATAGGTTTAGACTTACCAACCGTTGAAAGGTTTTTACTCATTCGAAAATTGAACGTTTACCTAATTGTCGTTTGCTCTCAATTCAAATTTAATTCATTTTAATATTTGCACAATAAAAAACACATCTCCCATAGATTTGTACGCAAAACAATTAATTTAATTTGTATGCAATTTATAAAAAGTAAAAAGTATTGTTCAACGTTTAGCAAACATAAAAAAAAGTATATGCCATTTTTGTTAGCTTAAGCAATAAGTAAATATCGTTCAATTTTTTCTATCTTCTTCTTCTGCTTTGAATTGCAAATCTTATTGTCGAATTAAAACAACTTTTGAATTTTCTTTATCTCTTGTTTTTTCCAATTCGGTAGACCAGCGAATTCTGTGTAGTTCATGTGAAATATTGAAACGAAATCATCGTGCGTCAAGTGCAATTCCTTCATTTTTGGATCGATCGTATCAGGTAAACGACTCGCTTCACTTCGTAATAATTCCACCGGATACTTGGGGTAGCTGTCGAAATCATTGTTCGTGTATTTATTCAATTTTGTAACTGGCATCGTAATGTGGCCATTTGATAATGCTTCAATGTTCAATCGTTCCATTTCGTATGTTGGATGCGTCTGCGAAAAGAGGAAAAAGGGATGATGATAATATTGATATAAATATTTCTTGAGAATAAACGAAAATTATGACGTTTAAAAAAAAATTTCATTTTTTTTAAATTACAAATTAAACTCTTTTCTCTTACATCCCAAAACTTTGTATCCCATTGATCAAAGTATCCAATGAATGTGGATGGTTCTAAGCCTTGATAAATGACTGCGTGAGGCGTTGAAATATCACGAGGCACTGGATAATTTGCTAAATATTCATCGATAATTTGCCAGCATTTGGACTTTTCCGTTTTTGGACTGAAATGATGAAACATTTGAAACTTGCTTGAATCGTGTAAATATTTTCAACGTTGATTTAAATTGATTTAAATAATTTGGAGACAAAAATTTGTTCCTTCAATGTACTTCTGAAAAAGTAATAGTCAAAAATCGAATTTATCAAAACCCAACTAACCTAAGCGAACCGATCCAAACATAAACAAATAGGCGAGCGTCCAATAGATAAATGTCCTCCGACGACAGATCGCTCTGAGTGAACGAAACGAGTTGTTTGGTTTTAATCGTGCCAGTTGCTTCGATAGTGACCACATAGAGTTCGGCTTTCGATCGGTCAATGTAGAAATTCTTTTCAATTGCATTTTTTAAATCGGGATCGTTTCGAATGAGTTTGTTATTGTTTGCATTTTTCAATTTAACTCTCACAGAATCCGGGATGTATTTCCAAAATTCACTCGATTCATTGCCGCCAATAACCAAGCTATATTCACCAATCATGGATCCAATACTTTTGGCAACCTCACGATTATCACCCGTCGAGCTGGGTCCACACCAAATCCAATTATTCCCATCGGCCGTACGAATAATGAAACAATCATACGCCGTAAAATCGACAATTTTACTCGATACTTGGAATGCCTTTGAATTATGCGTTGCATTGCCCATTACCTTCAGCAGGTATGTGTTGGGGAAGATACAGCAACTGCCCTGCGGATCAAAATCGATGCACTTCCCTTTGAACACAACCAATTTCCCTTTGAAAACTTGCAAGAAATGCGGTGGCTCCATGTTTTCGTACACGCGCACCTGCATCACCTTATTGCGCAAGTGCTTGGCATATTCTTCGGCCAAATTTTCGCCTTGCAGTGCAATTTCAGCCGAGCATTGTTTGCCCGTCCACAGATAGAGAATGTTTTTTACATTCGATTCGGCTGGCGTTTTCCCATTGTTTTCAACCGACTATGCAAACAAAGACACGTGAAATGAAATGTAATTAATTGAATTCATTAAAAAAAACGAAATGAAAGAGGTGACTCACCGTCACGATGTAATGGATAAGATAACAATCGCCCGAAAACAATGCGATATTGTTGCGTTTCGGTATCTCAATGATGTCGCCTTTTGGTCCAACGCGATAGACAACTATTTCGCCGTGGCCATCATCAATCAATTGAGACTCGGCCGCCAAGTGTGGTTTGGTGCCTTGTCGCTGAATCAATGACAAAGCATCATACTTGCCCAACAGATTTGCTGGCCGATTGCCATTAATGTCGAAATCTTGCCACCACGGAAAGAACCGAACAAACTCGTACGGTTCATAGCCCTCAATCACTCGAACGACAGGTGTTGTAGCCGGGTATGATTTCTGAAATGAAGTTTAAATTTAAATTGGAGTGGACAAAATGATGTAAATTTAGTTTTAAGTGGACAAAACGTTTCACCTTAACGTATACCTTTTTAACAAAACCTCTTGCATTTCGCATTGCTTCTGATTTATCCTTGGTATCGGAGTACCTTCCAACCCAAATCCAGGCGCCATAATGCGGCCCACAGTCGATGATATAGGCACGACTGCTGCTCAAATCGCGCTGATGCAGAATCGACGATTTCACTTCTTCAATGCGATACTTGCCGTTGTGAAAGCCACACTTGTACAAACGAAATGTCGGCACCGGAATTGCTGGAAGTTCATCCGATGGATGCACGACACGTTGTGATAAGCATAAGTATTCGTTCCATGATTTCTTCTTGGTTTCGTTCATCGATTGTTCGTAGCCATCATCAACGACCACCATTTCAGGCATTTGCTTACATTGTGCACGCATTTTCGCCGCCAGTTTGAATGCATTCAAACGTTCGCTGTGGCTACTCGTCCGTCCGATCCACACGAATAGATATTTTGGCGTTTTCAAAATCATAACATAGTTGCTCTTGAAGTGTGACCAATTAATTGGCGATCGTTGGACACAGCGTGGACATTTTTTATCTTTTACTTGAAACAATTGCGCATTTGATTCGAATTGCGCGTGATGCGAGTACACACTACACAAGAATAGACGATGTGGTTATAGAGAGAAAATTGAAAGAAATGCAATAATTAGTCGACTTGAAACCATCGTCCAAATGAGTAACAAGTTGAATGTCGCCTTACATAATTCCATCTTTGAAATATGACATAAATCGTGCACTTTCATGCTCTTGCGTTTCACGATACTGGCACGCAATATTCTCCAAGTGGTTGTCAAGTTCAATGACTTTGTACGCAACATTGCCCGATTTGTCTGACGTCGTATTCGATCCCAACCAAAAATGAATAAAACCATACAAAATATTCGTATTCGGTCTGATTTCACGGCTCTGTAAATACACAACGCATATATGCACATAGATGTGTATCAATTATAGCATGGATTTTTGCCACCAATCTTCACATACCGTCATGCAGTAAGCAAAAAAAAACGAGTAATTAATGTGTGCAATGCAGTGAAAACGACTTACAATTGTGTATTGATTGACAATGTTGCCTTTGATCGTCGACGCATAAATTATATACGTGCAATCATCGTAAAATATTCCAAACTTTTCCTTGGGCAACAGTTCCACACGATTATTCTGTGTGATCGATCGGTTGTTTTGTTTTTGAGTGAAAAAAAAGTTTCAAAAATGTTTTGTTAATGTCCTTTGATCTAATTTTTTTTCTAATTTTTTGATGATGTTTACAAGATGATTTGAATTGCATCAAGCAAACAAGATCAACAGATGAGAGAGATGAGGAGAAAAACAACAAAATCCCATAAATTACCTCGACTTTCCATATATGAAAGCCAATGCTGTTTTTTCGAATCTTTCGGAATGCTGCATCGATCACGCCATCACTGACACTTTTAAGTCCATCCTGTGTGTACGAAATTATGCAAAAGAAAAATTATTCATTATGTTTTTTTTTTTTTCGTTAATTTGCTGCAAACAAAAAAAATGATGATGATGAAAGATTCAAAATGTTGTTTACGATTTTTTGGATGAAAAGAGAATCGGCAAATAGAAAATCAATTTGTTCAAATTGTTTTTGATATGCATTTTGATTGCACGCGATTTCAATTCGTTTTTTTTCGGTTCCAGACCATTTGCAAGTATAAACAAACAATTGAATTTAATCGAAAGTATATCGAGAGATGTGTGTTGTGCGAGAATTTGATCAACGGAAATCGGGTAATTAAACCCTTTGGTAAATTGCGCAGCAACCACAATGTTATTTAAAAGATCATGTTTGGGTCAAATTGCACAAGCCACAATATGTAAATGGAGCTCGAAGTTTTCTCTCGCTTCATTTTTTTCGTATCTCCAGCCATTCAATACGATCCTAATGTATCAAATGTCCCACTTTTGTTTCTATCCCTTAGAAACCCGATCAAACTGTGCAAAAATTGTCATTTTACAAGATTTTTTTTCTCGATTTTCTCTTTTTTCTGGTAACGTTCACCTCTCCATTTGACTCGAACTCAATGCGTGTACCGTTTCAATAATAATACCAAAATCAGATTGTGGACGAAATACTATTTCACTTGCGGCTACATATCGTTTGATCGAACATTCAATTCCAAAATAAATTGCCCGTTGAAATGTGAAACGAAACCATTGAGTTTCGACAAACCGATCGATTGAGATCAATTGGTTGCTCTCGTTTGGGGCGGAAAGTGGCCAAATATCGCGACGTTCTTGTCGAATGCAAAGAAACACAAACGAGAAATTGTTTGAAAGCAGAGCATTGAAGTGGCTGGCTATGTAGCGCTACTGGTGATCAGATCTGTTTGTTGAGTGCATATTCGCTGTGACGCGCGGTCTTTCACTTTACGATTCTCACACAGTGTTTTTCTCTTGTATTCACACAGAAACAGAAAGATAAGATTATAAAACACACGAGACACGAACGACAGCTATGTGTGTGTATGAGCGCGTCGCTTACGATGTGCCTCGTGTGTTGCATATGCTTCTCTTTCTGTTTCCGTGTGAATGCAAGAGACAAACACTGTGTGGGAATCATTAAATGAATGAACGCAAACAACAGATCTGTTCATCAGCAGCGCTACATAGCCAGCCGCTTCAATGCTCTGTTTGAAAACATATGCCAATGGATTTCCCTCTTAAACGGTGACTTTGGATATATGCGCCTTTTCTACGGATCGATTTAACTTTATTGAGCTTTCATTTCGTGAGTTTGGCATTGTTTTTTTTCTTCTGTTTTGTTGCAATCAATTTCACGGAACAATGACGATCATCACCATTGATGTGCAATTGTCTTGTTTTGCATGTCACAAATAATATCGTTTCACAGTTGTTTGGTCGTCGAAATTGGTTCGTCGTTCTGCACATTGGCGCAAACTCACATTCTCTCCGGGCATCAATCTTTCACGGAAATCTCATGTCTTCGTCTTGCGGATAATGAACAATCGTAAAAACCGAAATCAAAATACTGTTGGCGACTCTCGAGCGAACGAATGACTTTGGGAAGTATAGTCTCGTCAAATAAGATACTTATGTCAGATTCCATTGACAAAACCCAAGATTGAGGAGGTGAGTGCAAAAGAAGGAAGTTTGTCGTAATTACATAGTCTTTTGTGTTGAGTTCCAGCACTTGCATTTCGTCGAAATTTTTCCGTAATCCAAAAAATGTGACGAACTTCTTATACGCAATGGCAGTTGGCTGGCCGCAATTTCTCCGCTTTTTTTTCAAGAAAAAAATGGAAAATGCTATCAACTCTCGTGTGTACAAAAAAAAGAATAGTTTCACTTTCTGTTGACACCACATACACACTAAGTCTAGAAATCACTTTAAAACTGGTCGAGACTACTCAGATTACCACACAGCTTTGTATGACTCGATTGAACGTACTGAAATGAAGAATCATTTATTAGAAAACCGATCACGGTATACACACACACACACACACACCGCACAAGATGGATTTTTCCAGTTTTTCTAGTCGAATGAACGAGCGCGCGCACATACAAATTTTACGATTCGCAGTCTAATTTGTTTAAATAATTTATCGAAAGAAAGATAGAAGAAGAAAAAACTCGTACAAAAACATGCGAATACAACACAAAGTTACACTCTAATCTCAGTAAATCACAACAACTGATTATCAATGAGAATAGCGAGCGGGAGAAGCAACCGAAAGAAATAAACAAATGCGAAGCGAACACAGGCGAAGAATGTTTTTGACACGAAAAACTTGTTCGATATTGTGCGTGTAGAAACATACATACAACGAAACACACCGAAAAAAACCGAAGATCTTTTTGAACACACCGAAAAACAAGTGCAGAAAATTGAATGGACAAGTATGGAAAATTGCAGTGTGTTTTGCGGATCGCGCGCAACAGTGAATTAATTGTATGTGTTTAATGCAGAAGCGTCGATGATGAACTGATGCCACTCAATGGCAATGGGCAAAACGAATGCCGCAATTTAATATAATCTTGTGGTTGGAGTGTTTTGTAAGCGCGGTGAGTAGAGTGAGTGAACGGACGAGCGAGTGAGCGAGTGAACGCTTGGGATGGTATGAGAATAAGGCGAATATTGAAGCCAGTATGAGAGAAAGAGCAGAGGAAAAGACAAAGACGCCGAATCAAAGAAAAGAGAAAATAATTTGCCTCATTACAATCCGAAGAACATTGAACAAAACATAGACACGAATATTTTTTGATTCGTCGTTCCACTCTAACCATGCTCACATCGGACATGAAATTTTACAATAAAAATAATACACACACACATTCGATGCAAAAACACACAAAAAGCATTCACGAAAAAAAGACTCACAAATCGCTCACAGCGACAGAATTAACTTTTTTCTTCTGTTTTGCACTAATTCAACCATTTTTTGCTGTCATTGTTGTTGTTCGCGTCATTCTTTGTACCCATTTGTCTCGCAATTTTGCTATTCGCCATTTTTTTGGATAGTAGTTCATTATTTGGATTCGAGTGGAGGAAAAAAAACGGTGGAAAATCAGCCAAAAGAACGTAACACAATGAGTAAATCAACTAATAATACAAATAGAAAAAAATGCGAGGAACGTGATCGCCATACGTTAAACAGCTGATATACACTGTGAGAGATTTTCACTTTATTGTGATGACACTGATCTTTCTCTCAATCTCTCATTCTCCGGGGAGAAAAACACATTAGAAAATTACAAACATGACAACGACAACGACAACAGCAAAAAACTAAGGCAGTAATAACATAATACATAATAAACGTGAATGTGACGGAGTTGCGGTTTGCTTGGCTCGGCTCCAGATCAAATTGGATTCAATGCAATTCAGGCGATAAAGAACCGAAAATGACTCATTTACCACAAATCTCGGTTCGGTATATACAGCAGCAGCAGCAACAGCAGCAGCAGCAGCCATAAACAAACTCAAAAATGGAACAATTTTCTCAGTATGTCATTTGAACCCGTGCGCATAAAAACGACTTATAAAAACGTCGCCCAACAAAGCGAAACACCTATTTGTTACTCGTTCGATTCGGAACAAATCGTACACTGGTATGTTACGCCGACAAATCTATGTTACGTTTTGATCGGCGATTTTTTTTGTAATTCGTTTTTATGCTCACGGGTTCATTTCTCAACGTGATTCGTGCTTGTTTTTTTCCCTCTCTATCTTCTTTCTTCGTCTGTTATTGTAGTATCATTGTAATTTGTTCATTATATTTTGACGTTCATTGTTCTGAACGTGTAATGTTAACGGTGGTATTTCACCACTAATCCAGTGGTTTGTTAATGTTCGATTCAAACGTCTCTTTCACTATGTATAAACAAAACAAAGCGTCGTCGAAATGTGTGGAAATTTCGAGCGTTGATGGTGCGGCTACTGAGAAACCAAAGCAATTTGATGAAATTTGGAATGGTGAATTGACCCTTTTTGTGACCAGAACCCGAATTTCCAAGACGATTAGACGAAACCGTCGAACAAGGCCCGATGAGAATCGCAGCATGATAGTAATTCCATGTTTTTTCATTGCCTAGATTGGGCCAAGAATCTCGATGTAACATTTTTTCTTCACAACGCAATTCATTCCGCGCATCAAATTGAACAAGAGATTGGTTTTCGCATGGAATTCAGATTAAAAGCAAAGCGAAACCGTTAATCAAATGCCAAGTTTTCCGTGTAAAAGGTCTTGATTGTCTGTAGATGTTGGAAAATTGATTCAAGCACAATCTCACCCGGAGCCGATAATCACTGATACTCGAGGTAAAATTGGAAAGAACGCTGGAGATGTTGGCACGTGCGAAACAAACGTGCTCATTCAATCGATTACATAGTTGTATAGACAATTATGTTAGTGGCCAGTTTCTATGGAACGCATTTTTTTCGTCGAAAAAAACCAGCAGCAACAATACAAGAAAGTGTTCTCGTGCCGTCTTTTGGCCTCACGTTTCAATTATGAATCGCGGCGAAAGAATAAATATGGTCATTAAAAACCACAACTCATTCGATTGAGTCTGAACGAATAAAAATGCGTACCAACAGCGAATAGAATTCATAAAACGTTTGGCAACATGCTTTTAAACTAGAATGAATGAGCAGAAGAAGAAGAAGAAGAAGCAAGAAAAAAATGATGAGAAAGATGTGGATAGAAATGGAAGATTTGCCATCATTAACATAATAATTGTATAAATACAACATGCAATTGAAATTGGTCGATGCGCGAGCGCGCGTGTTCATATGACGCGCATTGCTTTTTGGTTCGGTTTGGTTCATTTCAGCACTCGACTGAAACGCTAAGCGTTGCACAAAATAGAAAAGTGATGCGCGCACCGGCACTGAACTGCAAGTGCAACGCATGAAGCATTTTGTTCAAGCTCATTTCCAATTCATCACTGCCCCAATATTTACATTGAATCAATTGCGTGTTTCAATCAAAACGCAGAAAAGTTTGTAACCACCTGAATATGGTGGTTTAGTTGAAGATGAAGATCGGCAGACAGCACGCATCAAAATGTGTACATACGCTCACGAAATTCGTTTGATCAATGCAAACCAACGAAAACCATAAATAGCATCCATCCTACTCTAGTCACACACTTTCGAAGCATCGCGTAGAAACATTGCACGCATATTAATTGACGCCTGAAGGCGGCAACATCAACGGGTACATTGCAGTACAAGAAAAAATTCGTTTTAATTGAAAGTTAATTAGATGTAAATTAATGATTCGTCTGCAAAATTTTTTTTTTGTTCCGATACCAAATTTTTTTCTTTACTTAACTAATATATCATCCATCCCATTCAGGTGTGATTGGCTTTCATATTTAGAGACGTTATTTTTATTTGATCAGTAAATCGTTTCGTTTCGATTCATCGAATTGTATTGGAGTCTTTAAACGGACAATTGTACAGTAATGACTTTTACAGTACGTGGCTTTTTTTCTTGGTTTCAGCCATCTTTAACCAGTTAAAATTAATAACTGTTTTTGAACGCAGTCATTCCAATCGTCTTATCCAAAGCACTTGAACCGTCAACTTTCTTTTTCAATGTATCGAGATACAGCGTGTGTAATGAAAGACCTTTCAGTGGAGCAATCACCACGACGACGCACTTGATTTCATAGCACTTTCTTGGCAGTTCGACGCACGCTAAACGAATCATCGTTTTCTTGACCGGTGGAAATTATGGATTTCTAATAGGCCAACGTGCGGCTTGATAGTTTTCATTGAAAATAGAGTTTTTCTATGTATGTACTTTCTGAAGTACTGTAGCACGTCATAATGTTTCTATTCAACGGTATTCAATGAACACCTTGCGAATTCAGCACATTTTTGAGATTTTGGAAAATATGTGGTACTAATGTCGTGCATACCATTCCGCTGTTCAGCTTTCATCTACGAATTATTTCCATTTTAAACGAAAACTGAAGAAGATTCCAAATGGATTTTGGAACGAACAAAAGCTGAAAAAGCTACAATGGAAAAATAGGAGTTATTTACGGAAAAGCCAATAATCTTTCTCTTCGTCTCGCTGAGCGCAGCCATTCAAAGTATGTGCGCATTTTCACAGCCAAATAGACAATAGAGTAATTAAAACATCAACACCCAAACCGAACGCAGAGCACTAAAAATCAACAACGCTCCTCATCATTTCAATCTACGACAATAAATGAAATCTACATAAAATATTTTGATAAATGATCACGAGTTTTTCTCTTCTTCACTTCGATTCGGACGAATCGGCCAATTTGTGCATGCAATCACGAAATATTTCAAAGAAATTTGATTTAATTAATTCATTCATTCATTCATACTCACACATATGCAAGTGTTGTTTAGAAGCATCGCAGTTCGGTGCGGTATTAAAGAGTGTGGCTCTTAATTCAAATGAGCACATAAGCAACAAAAAATATGAAGGAAACGACGGTTGGCGTTGAATATTACTTTTTTATCATCATCAGAGGTTTCACTCTCCACAAAAAAAACCACTTCACACAAAGGTCTATTTAACTCAATCAAAACCTCTTGAGCATTTTCAATCCAAGCATTTGCAATTCAATCGTAAGCGAACTATTTCTTCTTTGTTTTTTTCGCTTCTTCTTCTCTTCATTTCTATATACGCTCAAGAAAATATTCTGTTTTATAATAATTTTATCAATGCTTTTAATATGATGATTGAATGCATAAATTCGATGCGCACCGATGCGTTCTAGCTGGGCTGTCAAGTGTATTTGTCTGAGAATAACCAAACATAAAACTGAGCAAGTGAATCGCGAATGATAAAATACAATAATAAAAAAAGAAGAATAAGCATTATCAAGTGTCAAATTCATTCGTAAAAGAAATTCACCGTCCGAATTCGGACCAAACGAAATGATAGAAAATTGTGGAGCACGGGATGAAATATTTCTAATATTTGCGCATGAAATATTTCGCTGATTCTTCTCCGTTGTCGAGAAGAGGCAACAAGAAAATACAATTAGATATTCATTATTTAAAAATGCTGCACGCATTCGCTAGCCGTACATGATTCTCATTAAGCGTATATGTAAGTTATGTTTCTGCATTTTCGAATCGAATTTCATTGCACAGTTATTGTTTGATACGATGTGTTTTCTTCTTCTTCTGCTTCTTCTCCGCCACCGCTTTGTACTCGTTTTGCTAGTATTCATTCTCTTTTGGCAAGAGAAGCGTCGAAGAAAAAAATAAAATGAATAAAAATCCGATGCATCCATTTATAAGATCTGCGATATTTCACGATGCAGCAGCAGCAGCAGCAGTCAAAAAAGGGAGTGTAAATGTGCGACGAAGCAACACGAAAGTTTTTTAATTATTATTCATGGATCAATTTCACCTACAAACATATTTGCTATTTACGGCTCTTTTTTTCTTCGTTATCAATAAACGATTTTCAATCTTTGCTTCTGTTTTTTGTATCTATCTCAGCTCGTCGCTGAATTCAATCAATTGATCAAAAAAATTTATCGAAAAAAAAAACTATTTCGAACGATACATTCTCTTATTTTCCAAATTGTCTTTTCGAAAATCGCGCCGAGAAAGTAGTATCAACTAATGAATTGATAAACAAAATACTTTTTTTCACACTTTTAATTGCAGTAATAAAAAATAATTGGCCGCAATCATAGAAGCAATTGTTTTTGTATCTGTTGCCAAATTCAATGAAGTTGTCTTCCCAAATTCGACAAAATTACTTTATTAATATTTAATCGTTAAATCTATGATTGCCGGTGTCAGCAAAGCCACACTAAATTCGACGAAAACTTCAGACATTCAATAGAAGACGGAAAAAAGATCGCATAATTATAATCGCCATTTATTATTTGGATTGCGTCGAGAAAAATGCAGATTTGGTGGAAATTATGCAAAAAAAGAAAGTAAGAGTACTTCTCACGAATGCAATTTGTACCGAAAACCGCGTAACAAATAAATGGCTCGAATTGCGAGATATTTTCTGGTGTCAAATTCCGTGAAAAGCACGAAGAAAACCGAGATCTCAGTGGGGCAGTAAAAAAAATGAAATAAACAAAGAAATTGAATTGTGTGTTGAATGAAGTGAGATTCACATGGATCTTTGTATTTATTTTTTCATTCACAGCAATAGCACTTAAAATTCACACGAAAAATTGCACGATATGCAAATGGTTTTACGCTATCTTTCAATTTTGCATTGATTTATCTAATTTGCACTTGGGAATTGTTGAAATATTGTTCGCATTTCAATTCCGCAATCATAATCTACTCGAATTCACAATGTGTGGGTGCTGTTTGACTGATAAAACCATCATATTTTTTCTCGCTTGCTTGAAGTTTGTTTACATTATTGTTGTGAGTTCAAAACAATTTCACCAATTTAATTATAGATGAAACAAGTGTGGAAAACATATGCGTCGAACAGAAATTACTTTGCAGTGACAAACAAAAAAACAACAGCACAATTTCGGTCGACACACAAAAGCAATCTCCATGGTAAAACGGAACGAACGCACATAAGCATAACTGGATGACGAGTTTAACTTCCATCGAGAAATGTGAATGATGATTTCATTCATGAACAATAACCGACTGGAACAACGAATAAATTAAAGCTTAAGATAGAAATATATAAAAGAGCAGCCAATGAAACCATTCGGTTGGCACAGACAAAACGTCATTCATTCGGATGTTTATATCACTGTAATTCTACGCATACACACAAAGCACTATATTTTATAGCACTTGTGCATTTTGAATCCGTTGATTTGAAATGTGAGAAAAATAAAACGAATTTCATGAGGTAAGTGCCATGAAGCTATTACCGCTTCTTTTGCAGAAATGTACAGACCTTGGCGGAGGAATGGTCTTACCTTTGTGATTTTCATTGGTTTCTTTCACTTTGATGTTTTATACCATTTAATAAAGGTATCACCAAATTTAGCACTTCCTTTCATTCATTTATCATGTTTAATTCTAAAATTCTTGATATTTTCTCTTATTTTGAGACATAAAGAATAAAATAATTTACCATGATTTTGACTTTGGCTGAAATTCCCCGTGCAATCCGAAATTATAAAAAATATTGATTGAATAAACACTTTTAGTCCGAAAATAAATTCACTGCCAAAAAATTGAAAACCGGAAAAAACTGCCGAAAATTGTTCAAGAACACTCAAACACAAATAGTCAGAAAATGATCAAAAACTATCAACTTGTCGTCAACTGTGATTGTCCGCCCGTTCCAAAAAAAAATACCGTTTTCATTGATTCCGCAAAATCGTGTCAGTTTTCACTGAAACTCGGTTATGATTGCATTTACTTTTTCTTCTATTTTCTATATTTCCAATCTGCTTATCTAGATGTGATGGTGATGAGTATAAAATTTGATTTTGTGATAGATGTGATTTTGACGTTGATTTATATCGAAACTCGGTATCTACGCACATCAAATCACACACTGCACCTGCCTGCACCGCACTGTGAAACTTATGATTGAAACACTGGCTGCAGCGAAATGGAAATGTGGTAAAAATCACTCATAAAACTGAAACAAATAATATCACTGGAGCGACTAACAGGTGCTCAACTGAATTATTGCTTCTGCGCACAGTCGAGATGCTCAAGCGCTCGTGATATATTGGTATTGTCTGTAGCAATTGTCTGTCGATGGTGATGAACTCAAAGTGTTATGCGCGTCTGTTTTTTTTAACTAAAACAAAAAAATCAGCTATACTGTGCATACATCTCAGTCTAGCATACGTAGATTACATATATATATGTGCGCCAGAATCGCAATCGAGCCAAACTGTGCTGAAAAGAGAGAATCGGCCGTCATCATCATCTATTGTGCCTCTATTTGTGCACAATTGTGCCTCCATTGTTTTGCCTTTTGTCTGATTCGCGCTTGCGCGCACTCGCACACACACCCGCATTATAGCCCGAATCCCAACCATAAATTAACCATATATTTTTTTCTTTCCAAACTATAACACAGCTAATTATAGGCATATCGGCAAAATTTCAACCAATACAGCCACGGTACATCACTGTACCGCCGCGCACTCAAAATGCGTACAACACCATTTCTCATTGAGATAGTTGGGTGCGGGCGAGCAATCGAACATACGAATCAGCACTCACATTCACTCGATTCCAAATGCATGTAATGTAAAACAGTACACAGCATACGAATTACATTCTATAAGCAATTGTTATGTGTGTCTATTATGCGGTCGCCTCCATTGCTGCTGCCGTCACACCGTTACAAAACCCTTCGCAAATGAAATCACTCAACTAGAAATCCTTATGAATTTTCATATACGTACACACAATAACCATAAAAACGTGTTGCTGTTGTTTATTAGCGGACATCGGCACACTGCATTCACCACAACTCTGAATCTGATCAGCGCGCTATGGACAATAACAGCAGCAGCAGCAACAGCAAATATCGCCTCGTTTGCGTTTTATTCGATCACGATTACGATTATACATCATTTGCTCTGATTTTTTCTATTCTTTTCACTCTGGTTTTATCTGTGTTGGTTTTTTTTATCAAACTCTGTTGCATTTTACCATTTAATTCGATCCAAAGATGAGCATAGAAAAAAAGAATTACGACCACGGCGCACTGATCGAGTTATAAAAGTACCATAATTTGGTATTGTTTATGCCAACAGTGCTCATTTATTAAATGAATAATGGGCATAACAGCCCATTTGGAATTTTTTTTCGAGCAAAACTCTTAAATTGAGAGATTAAACATACAATTAAAACCACACATACTAGGTTCATAACGCTTCAAGATTATAAGTTCAAGTACAGTATAACATACCTTTTTTTTACTTCTGTGTAAGTATTGATCTGTAGGCTGGAAATCATTGTTAAATGCCTGGTCAATTTTGCCGACATACCCTAAGCAAATATATGAAACAGTAGCGTCATTCACTGAATGACCCATTCGGTAGCACAATATAAACCAAAAGCTCCACAGCCCACTTTGTTCGAAATACTTTCCGTCGATTTGAATTCATTGATATTTTATTTTCATTGTAAAAGACAATTCAACTATATTTGTTTTCCGATGTAAATGTTAGATTAAAAACGAAATTTCATGCTAAAAACTCCAAAAAAAATTCGAATATTCTCTCTAATAATAATAATAATTTAAATTGTACTAAAGCATTCAAAAAACAGACAATATGAATCATTTTCATTTCATTCGTTCCATTATTCAATTAATACTACACAAGAATTCTGGCTGAGGTCGAATTCGTGGTAACTCGTCGCATTTTCGATATAATGATCATTTTAATACGTCTCTTCGGCGTTACATTCACCCGCCTCGTGGTCAAACTCTGGAATGAAAGCAGATTTTGTTTTGAATTAATACGAACATGTAAATATAGAATAGATGCTAACCTTCACAAACTTCACAGTATTTCCGAGGTGGTGGTAGCACGCGCTTCTTTGTTCCGTCGGCATTCACTTGACCATTATTAATTGGCTTCGAGTTACCAGCTATTGTATGCATCGGACTAGATTCAGACGATTGAACGGGACAGTCTTCAGTATCATGTTTATCGAATTCATCGCAAATGTCGCAGAATAAACGTGGCGCTGGCAGTCTCTTCACCGCTGGCATGTCGAATATCGGGTTTCTAATAGAATAATGAAAAACTAATTAATTTTCGTTCTCTCTCGTCTTACTTTTATTTATTTTCTTTTGTAGTCTTTACCAATTCTCTATTTTGCCAATAATTTTTATTGAAAATTGCAGTATACTGATTTTGGAATATTGCGTGGTGTTTAGATTTTAAACTGAATTTCTAATTTCAAAATTCTCACTTTCGAAATCTTTAGAAAACATCACTTACTTGAATAGTTCAGCCGATCGAATTTGTTCCTTGAGCGCCTCATTTTTCCGTTGCATATCTGCGATGATGGAATTCAAGAATGAAATTTGTGCACCTGGTTCACCTTCAGCGACGAAACTTTCCGCTTGTTTCGGTAATGTCGTCGCCTCTACAACGGCAAGCAAACGTTCCTTCTCTTTCACTGTAGATTTCAGCGTGATAATTTCTCCCTCTAATTTCTTGTTCGCCAACAAAAGTTCGGCTTCGCGTGTCTTAAGTGCTCGTGTTGCTTCTTCATCATTCGATTGGCTCTCGTTCAACTTATCAATGTTATCCGATTGTTCTTGTACTTTGGCTTCGCTATCCCACAATTTCAGCGTTAATTCTTCGATTTCTTTCTTTTTCATTTCTTCTATTTGTACAAGCTCTGCCCGAAGGTTGGCCAATTCGTTGGTTTGAGTTGAGCTATTCTCCGACATTTCTCTGACCTTTTGTTGGTTTTCAATTTGAATACGATCCAAATTATTGGTCAACTCGGTGATTTTATCTTTTAGCTGTTTATTTTCCGAATCGACCGTTGCAGCAGCAGCGATTTTCTTGTGTGCTTCGCCCAACTCTCGGGTTTTCTGTTGAATTTCATCCGAAGACCGTTTATTTTTTGCCTCATTTTCTTTCAGTGCACTGGCCAAATTGGCATCCTTTTCGGCGCATTGCTTCTTCAGGTCATCAACCGTTTTAATGAGCTCAACAATGTTGGATTCCTTGAGCTTGAGTTCTTCAGATTTATCCTTTAATTCATTCTTCAAATCATCCGATAGATTCACTGACGGTGCCAATTGTGACACTTTCTCTTCGAGCGCTTTGATGATTTTATCCTTTTCGTTCGATTCATTTACAGTGGACTTGATTAGATTTTCGATTTCAGTCTTTGCCTGTTCTGCATCATTCTTATATTTTTGGAAGTTTTCATTTGTGTTTCGCAATTGGGACTCGATCAATTTTACTTGTTCCGCTGTAGCAGCTCTTTCGTTTGTGAAAGTAGCAGTTTTCTCTTCCAGTTCTTTTTGTAACGATTGAATTTGAGCGGTTGCACCGGACATATCGGTCTCTTGCTGTTGAATCTTCTGCTTCAATTCATCCATCGCGCTGACGGTTTGCAATAATTCATCGACTTGTCGTTGATACTCGAGATTTTTGTTCACCAAATCCACCTGTTCATCTTCTGTATCACGGAAAGACTCACCGAGTGTATTGTATTTGCTCTCCAATTCACTCAATTTGTCCACCGTTTGCTTCTTCTCTTCCGAAATGACTTTATTCGCCTCTTCAAGAGCAATGATTTGCTTCCTCAATGAAGTTTCCACAGTATTTTTATCGTCTGAAACCTTTTCCGCTTCACTTTCGGCAGCTGACAATCTTTCTTCAAGGCTTTGAATTTGAGCGGTGATCAATTGAATTTCATTATCTTTGGCGGTCAACTTTTCATTGAGTGCCTTTTCAATACCCTTTGCCTTTTCTTCCGCCTGCTTGGTATGGGCGATTTTTTCATTCAACATCGATTCCAAATCATTGACCTTATTCGAAGCCGATGTCAATTCATTCATTCTTTGCTCAAGATCGGTGTTCGTATTGGAAATTTCCTTTTGCAAATTTTTGATCGTATTTTCCAAATTGTCAATGGTAGACTTGTGTTCAGCTAATTGACGATCGGACACGGTTACACTTTCTTGACGTTCGTTATGCAATCGCTCTTTTTCTTCTCTAAACGACATTTTCAACGCGTCGATTTCGTTTTTCAGAGCTTCAGCCTCCGATTCATAAGCCTCCTTAATTTTCGACAATTCCAAATTCAGTTCATTCTCTCGGTCGATCTTCTGTGCGGTGAGTGAATTCATTTCATTTTTAAGTTTATCGTGTTGCGAAGTGCGAGCTGCCAAATTCTGTTGGGTTTCATGCAATGACTTCTCAAGGTTCAATTTCGTTTCGTTCGACGAATCAACCAGTAAATCATACGCCTCTTGTTTGGCTTTGAGGTCTTCAACCAATCGACGAATTTCCGTGTTTGAATCTGACGACGAAGATTGTAGGGCTTCGAGATTTTGCTGCAATGATGTCTTTTCACTCAATAGCTGCTCCAATTTCTCTTCAGACACAATTTGTTTACGTTCCGAATCGGCATAATCGACTTCTAATTTCAATAGCTTCTCTGCTTTTCCGGTCAATTCGTTTGAAAGTGATTGGATTTTGGTGTTTAGTTCATCAATCGATGCTTTTCCCTTCTCAGCATCAGTGGTTCCTTGTTCGACTTGAATTTGCAATTGTTCACATTTCTGTTTCAAATTCTTGAGCTGCCGCTCTTTCTTGTCATTTTCCTCGAGCGATGTGTCCAATGAATTTTGAAGCTCGGCAGCTTTTGACTTCAGATCTGAATTTGCCTTGGCCAAATCTGCCAATTGATTATTCTGCTTTTTGAGCTCCAAATTAAGATTGTCTACTGTCGACTCGTTGTTGTCGTTTTGCACCTGAGTTTCTGCCAATTTCTCTTGTAATGATTTCAACGTGTTTTCATGTGATTCGATAACATTTTTCTGTTTTGTAATTTGTTCCGTCAATTCTTTATTACTATCTTCGACTGTATTCAATGTTGTTCTTAAATTATCGATCTCCTTCGATTTTTCGTTATTCGATTGATTCCGTTCGGTTTCCAAAGTCTTCTGTAATTGAGCATATTTCTTTTGGGCCTCAACCAATTCTTTTGTTTTCGATGCGGCCTCGGTCTCAAATTTCGATTTCACCCCCATAATCTCATCAATTCGTTGCGTCAACTCCGAAATGTCCTGAGCCAGTTTCGCAATGTGCTTATCTTTTTCGACGACAACGACTTCACGCACCTGGCTTAATTCAGCGTTGGTTTTGTCCAATTTTCCTTGAAGTTCATCGTGTTTGGTTTCCTTTTCGTTATTCATCGCTTGCAATGTCGAAATTATGCCCTCTTTTGTGGCAATTTCCTGCTTGTTAAACTCAACAGCTGCCTGCGTTGTTTGAATGTCTTTGCTAAGCTGTTCAATATTTTGTGTCTTTTCTTCTAATGTCTTTTGCAAATCTTGAATTGTGGCCATATGAGCCTCGACCGATTTTTTTGAAACTTCCCATTCGCCAAGAATTTCAGCATATTTATCGTTAGCTGAAGAAAGTGCCGCTTGTTCCGTTCTTTTTACCGACACCGCCTGTTCTTTTTCCTTTAAGGCTTCGGCATATTGCCGTTCCAACGATTCGATTTCCTCTTTTTGAGCAATAATTTCGGCATCTTTAGCATTGACCAATTTTTCGATATCCTTTTCACCGCTGACCAATGCTTGTTTCAATTGATTCTGTGCGGAGATGAGCTCATCTCTCAAATCGTTTTCGATTTGTTTCATATCCAAGTATTGTTTTTCACTGGCCGCATCCTTGCCCACCAGCTCACTCTTGAGGTCTTCATTTTGCCGCTTCAAAAAGTCAATCTCCTCTCGCAAGCACGTCTCACTCACACCCAAACTGGATATTTTTATCTCACATGACTTTTCGAACTCATCTTTATCCTCCTTGAGCTGCTCACACTCCTTCGACAAACTATCACAACGAGTCTGTAGTTCAGTGATCTCCTGCAACTTTTGTTTGTAGTCAGTCTGCAGTTTTGTTAGTTCTGGAGAAGAAAAGAAAAATGTAAAAAAAAGTGATACAATTTGATCAAATTGCAAGAAATAAATACCTTCGATTTTCAGTTTAAGCGCGTTGATTTCTTCTTCATTCGGTTTGTTAGCATTTGCCTCCAGCAATTGTTTCTCCAAACCAGCAATCTTCTCTCTGTATTCGTCCAATTGCGCCTGTGAATCAAACGTTCATTAGAATTCCGGATTATTCAAAGGGCGTTTTGTTAATACGCAAGGAAAAAACCAAATTGGAAAATAATAATAACAACAATTGACCAATTCAATGAATCAATTTTGAGCAAGTTTGAAATCTTCTGGACCACTTCGAATAGGATTTCATGCAATAAACTAGGAAACTACATATCAAACGGAATCGTATGAAAAACGAACACAACTAGTAAGAAGGACACCACACAAAATCAAGTGTCAGACGAGTTCACAATGCATTCCCAATATAATTTACTTACGGCCTTCGATTCAATCTGGACTTTCTGCTATGAGGAAATGATGAAAAAGAAAACAACAAAATGCATAGTGCGTTGAATGTAATAGAAAAAATGTAAAGGAATACACGATTAGCCAATCATAATATCATTTTTTTTGGATGCAACAAAAAGAATTCGTGTGTGTTCGGGAGAAATGAAACGTTTCAGTAAGGTGATTGAAAGTAAAGCTACCTTTTCACCAATTTAAATATGACATTTTTTTAAGAAGAAGAAATTATTTACTAATAATTTACCGTTTCGTTGCCTCCGCAGATTGTCGCTTCATCGATTCGGAATTGAAGATCTTCGGACTTCAATCGCTCCTCTTCCAGCTGTCTCTCTAGGGTGGCCACTCGTTCACGCAACTATAAAATGGCAAATAAAATCATGATTAGTTTCTTGTTGAATAGGTTGACATTTTTCGGTTTTTATTGATGTTATGATCACCCAAGCGCGACTCCACACTTAGCTTCTAAATGTGACACCGTAGTAAGTGTGGGCATACGTTTTGCGAATAAGCGACAAAGAGAATGGAAACAAGTGCGCGTGTGGTAGTGAGTAGCCTGATGCGATGCTACTCAATGTAGCGACTAATACACGCGCACTTGTTTCCATTCTCTTTGTCGCTTATTCGCAAAACGTATGCCCACACTTACTACGGTGTCACATTTAGAAGCTAAGTGTGGAGTCGCGCTTGGGCAGTAAATGGCCATGCTTGATGTGGTTTAAAGTAAAGGATGCGTTGGTCAAGAAAATCGGATAGCTGGTCAAAGTCGAAGATCTGTAATGATATGAAAACTTATTGCTATATTAACAACGGGATCGGAGTAAAGATTGTAATTTTTGTGGTCTTTTTAGAGCTTCTTACTAGGTTTTCTATTTATCCTAATTGGTAATGGTTTGAAATTAAAATTTAGCATTCAATGATAGATAGCTGAGGATATATGCGGAGCATAGAAACTCTTGTTAAATACGGTATACCATCGTTAATACGGTTTGTGCATTGTGCAATGCTCTCAAAGTTTAAACAGACTAGAGCGGAAACGTTTTATCAATGCTGAGCGCATACTAAACAGCAATAAATGGAGAATTAATATGCTCGTTTGGAATTGTCAATATAAAAATTGAATGTCCGATTGTCATTTGATTTGATATGTTGTGAAAGCGTTGCAATTCAAAAGCAAAAGTGAGAAGTAATGGCATTTTCTCGAATTTAATCAAAAATAAGCCGCAATATTGCAGATTCCTAATCGATTGCGGTAAAATCACATGAAATTCATTTGTTTTGTCAGTGCCACTCCTAATATCGGGGCTCTTAAAATGGAATTGGCACTTTAAATATTGTGAATTTTTCCCGAAAGTGTGTTTTAGATAATTTAGAATAATGTCCACCGAGAGAAAGTAATTTATTCTCATAAATATCTTTAAATTTCTTCATTTGTAGTTTTTTATATGCCAAAAAGGAATAATTTATGTTTTTGCATCAATAAAAATGGAAAAAAATCAATTTATGGCCATTTTGCTAATTTGAGGTGTAGATGAGTTGATGTTTATTCTAAATTCAGAAGATTAATAGAATCAGCGGCGATTTCCTTGCTAAAATTTATCGTTGCCAAAAAAGGGATTCTGGTGATAAATTAATTTTATTTCTCTCCTCTAAAATATAGATTTTTGTGTCGTTTGGATTTCATTTTACGTGAAATTGTAGCATGTCTTGTGATCTCATGTCTATTTCTATATTTGTGTGTGCTCATTGTTCAGTTCAAGCAGATATATAAAAACGCAGGAAAGACAAAAAATAATTGATAACAGAAAAACTCATTTATTTATACAAATATCAGCATATCTTAAGAGGGAAAATTTTAATTGTTGATTCGAAATTAATATGATAAAGGCTAATGCGAATTGAATTAAGAAATTTGGTATAAATTTTAAAAGGCTATCATATGCCGCTTGAATCGTTACCATCGCCACAAAACCGTTGTGAGTCTGACTTTTTTTTCAATACAAAATAATCCGTAAACATCTTCTAATGAAACAAAAGTTAGAATAAAATTCTAAATTCCAATTCTGAACTCACAGTTTATTAAAAATATTTTATTTGCATCAGTAACTTAGGAAAACTATAATTATTCCACTGCAAATGATTTCAATTTGAAGTTCGAAACTTCGCAATCAACAGCGCCATCTTACGTTAGTCAACGGATATACACTCCAGTCGCCATATTGACAAGTGACAACTGCGTTGTCGTTTCACATTTCAAATGGAAATCATTTGAAATGGAATAATTGTAGTTTTTCTAAATTTTATTGATATTTTTTGCTAGGGGAATATCACGCTCCTGAATCTTGTGAGATATTTGAAATAAACATCAATTGTATGACATATTTTCGAATATTTCGAATAAATAAATCAGATTTTTGTGGATTTTGGAGATATTTGAGATTTCTTGCATTAAATCCAAATAAATACATTTAAATATCATACATAATCACAAAAATCCACAATATTCCGCCGTATTCACAAATATCCACCATATTTCATACGACAGATTCTTAGAGATAAATTGGATTCTTTTGAAATATTTGAAATAATTTAAGCGTGATATTCCCCTAGATTTTTTGTAAACTGTGCGTTCAGAAATGGAACTTGCAATTTGATTCTAACTTTTTTTTAATAGAAGATATTTTTAATAGATTATTTTGTATCGAAAAAAAAATGAGATTCATACCGGTTTTGTTTATGGCGCTGGTAGCACTTCGAACTTGATTTTTCGTTCAACATCAACCGACTGAAATGATACCTAGTGGATTTGCTGGCCCTTTAAATTTTATCCCAAAATCCGCATTAGCCTTTCAAAATCAGGAAAAATCGTTATAAATGCACAAAAAAATCTGGTTAGTAGCAAAATCGAAACTTGTTTCAAAGATCCTTTATTTCGATGTATAATTTAAGTACTCGTTGGAAAAGGGAGACGTAAAATAATAATAAGTAGTAATCAATCGCAGCCATTATTTAGTCAGAAGGATGTCATGTAGAATGCAATGTTGTTCATGTGTTCCTTGCCATCCACGGAATTCCCGTTTTAGTTCGCTCAAGTGTGAGTTGCGACGACGAATCAAATTCGCCCATTGACCATTGTCGCTGCTATCCGATTTTCTTGACACTGGCGACGATGCCTTCTTCTCATCAAAACATAACAAAAGCATTCAATAAAAATCAACGTAAAGATGTAAAGATAACATGCTCAATTCACCTGACGAATTTCCTTTTGGAACACCATCGTATCATTTTCGGTTTGTTGGCGAGTCAAATCACGTTCCAAAATCAGCTGTTCAATATGATTTTGCTTCTCTCGCAACAGATCCTAAGCAAATAAATTGAATTAGGTTGACATTCGTGATAAGATTTCATGATTAAAGATCTAAAATTAAGGCAAGCGCTTGTTCATTTCATTCAATTCCAATCGAACCTAAGATTTCAAGCTTACTACCTTAAAGACAATTTCACCAGTCTTATGATTATGAAATTTATTGAATATGATGTAATATTTATGCATAAATTAAAAAAACTCTGATTAAAATTCCCTGTAGATGTCTCAGCTAAATCAACCGCAAAGCTACTCAAGTTTCTCATTTAAGCTCGTGAATTGTTTCAACAGCATCGAAACTTCGTTGAAAGAAAAGAAAAAACTTCCGATCAATTGAATCAGGTGAACATTAATATTCACGTGTTGAATGGAAACTCCTCTACGTTTCAAACGATAGGTATCGTTAATGTAGCGTGTACATTAAGTTTTGGTGTGAGCCCACGCAAATTACTGCGAACGAGAAGCTAATTAAACCTACCTCAACACGGTTGAGTTGATTATGTACTAATATGGCAAACGAAACGTAGTCTAACGTATGATTTTTATTGGACATTGCAAAACGTAAATCCGTCATCGGGATATGGTGACACAAAGCACATCAAGCAAAACAACAAGACCCTAGTCAATTAGCTAAGAAGCATTGTAGTTTCCATTGCACGACCAAAACTATTCGATTTTCTTACCCGAAGTTGGTACTAATTTAGAAATATGCAAAGCCAAGTAAAGTCTCACACTGAATTTATGATTCAGCATGCTATCATAAACCACGTCAGAATTCTTGTTGGATTTTAATAGGCAATTTGAAACAGATGAATTGCTTAATGATCTGAGACACTTGCATATACAACAACTATGATAATTTAGTTTTTTTTGGTCGATTTAGGAATTGGTTCTGTAAGTCGGAAGCAAGTACTTGGTTCAATCTCGAACCTTTAATTAAGTAATTTAACCGAGACAGATGATTGTTTGAGCCGTAAATTCGTGCGACAACTGTGTGTGCCGCATAATAATATGTAAAACATTTTGTTGTCGCTGTGCGCCATACTCGGTGTATCGGTTTGTCACGTCTCTTTTGTTTACGACCATAAACCAAACTAATGGATCAATAATTATAGTACAAGATTTTTTTAGAATCGACGATTTTTTTAGCGAATGATGCTCATCAATGAATGAATGAGCGCTTGAATTTCTCGCAAAAATTGAAATATGAAATATTCAAATCGCAATAACAATACATGCTCATCGATTTCTGAAGGGAATAACATTGTTTATGGACAAGTCAGTACAAATTGGACGACAAAATAAACAGAACATCTGGTTTTTTTTCTCGATTCATTTTGCCGAAAAGAGAAACAAGTTTTTGTCGATATTTCCAAAAAGCGGCAAATAACTTTTTATCGATGTGAAGAAAAAAAAAGAAGAAAAGACAACACTGCACGCCGTCTCATGAATAATGTGCTAAACGCGCACGAACGCGTTTTTGTTTTTTTTTCGATGAGACGCAATGAACTGAAAGTGTATTGTTGTCGAGCGCGATGTTTACGTGGTCAAGGTATATATGTGCTGAAATGTTCTTGACCAAAATAAATGATCTATCAATACGAAAATGCGATGAAAGTATGGAGTTTGGTGATGTCGGTGACAGATTTTTGAAGAAGAGGCGACGAAGAAAAACATACAACATAAACTGAAACCTATGGTATTTTTGACCATTGATTTTCGTCTTGTTTTTGTAGTTTTTGTTCCGAAAACTGTACTACAGTAAACATGCGATGATTGGAAACAAACGATTTTTAATGAACTACATGAACTACCATCAATTAGCGTAACGATGATAATTTGACAAACAACACACACCAAATTTTGACTTTTCGCCTTTCAAATGACTTTTGTTCTGAAAGGAAGAATTCTCTGCGTAGATGGAACTACCAACCCATTACCTTTTTTTGCTATATATACACATACAAATATTTACAATTCTTATAAATACGATTTTTTCAAAGAAAAAAAAAATTCAAGAATTATTTTTATATGTACAATGGTAGTGATTGCGTAAATTGTCCCGTTACAGCAGCGTTTTATTTGTTTGATTTGGTTTTGTTTATTTTGCAAAAAAAAAATTCCATTGGATTATGAACAAGCACTTACACATTAAATCCATTTACAAATTATATCATTACATGGCACTAAAATTAAAATCCAGACAAAATTAGATGATAGAATCATTCACCGGGCCCTGTCAGACCGGATTGTTCTATTTATGTTTAAGGGATTGGTTAGTAACACACATTTACAGCTAAATTATACAACACATTGTTTATAAGTACATTTTTGTTTGTTCGCAAATAAAATGTTACACAATTGTTTCTTTATTCAGTGCAAACATAGTATATGTGTCATACCTGCAGTGAGAATGTATTCTTCGACGTACTCGCCGGAGGTTTTGCTGCAGACGATAAACGCTAAAAATGCATTCGTGTTATTTTTAGGTTCATTTACGCAAATAGAGGGAGATAGATGATGTAAAAAAAATGAATAATGAATTGGGAATTCATTCGATTAGATGTGATTATTTCAGCAATCAAAATTATTTGGTAAAAGACATTCAAATAAAAATATATGGTTAAAATGAATAAACGAAACGAAAAAAGAAATATCTGAAATATACATATAAAAACAGACACACAGCAGCACATAATAAGAAATTGAACATGGGAGTTGATATTGTTGTTTGTTTTTCTGAATAATTTCTGCGCGCTTAGTATGTGCTGTAGACAACGTGATAAGTGGTGGTTGTGAGCGGTACCTGTGCGCTCATTCGTAAGCGAGATGTGTTAGTTGATGTAATACTGCCCATGGTGCCGATTGAATTGAGCGATTCCTTGGAACCGGCACGCGACAAACGTGATTTACGCGATAGCGGTGACAATGATACCTTAGCCAAAGGAACAAAAATACCAAAATTCGGCGGACAATTGAAATACCTAAAATGAATGCAAACGAATTGGTTTTCCCATGAAATTTGGCTTTTCGAAATGCGATTGTGTTTTTTTTTTCAAAACATACTGCACACCATCGACGGTTCCGTCATTTTTGCCGCTTGGTTCATCCAATTGAACACCACACCAATTTCCTGGAGCAAATTTCGTTTCACCGATGTACTGCAAAATTCCAGCACGACTTCCCATTCCAGACGAAACAATCACCCGATCTCCAACACTCAAATTGGTTTCTATAAATAATTCAATGAGTCATTTCAATATCCTGCAATTTTTCGCTCACTCTCGGCTTGAATGTGTTACTAACTTGATGGTGATTTGCCGACATAACTGGACACGCTGCGTGTTGGACTGACGGTGCCGGAGCGTGGTGGCGATGATATTGATCGAACGCTTGTGTTCATCGAATATGTTGGCGAGCTACATGTTATATCACCCAAGGGTTCCAATGTGAGTCGTGTGAGTCTGGAGAAAATGCCTCGTTTTGGCTCGCATTGGAAGTATCGCTTTCCCGAGACGCATCCATCATTTTTACCACTTGTATCATCCAACACAATGCCAGCCCAATCACCGGGTGCAAAATGTGTTTCACCTATAAAAGCAATTTGGCCTGGGCGATGTCCACCAACAAAAACACGCTGACCGATAATGAATTGATCGGTATCTGTTGTCAACACCACACCTTGGTCTGCAATGCATTACACCCAGAGGAGAAGAAAATGCTTAAAAATTGTGTCTTCATTTCTTTTGAAACCGGTTGAATAAGTATGGTTAGAGATTTTGTTTGTTTTTTTTCTTCAGTTCGACATTTATAAATATGTTTAAATTCTAATTGAGTGAAAAATATCTTAAAGCTAAATTTTTTTTCCAAATATTTCTTCTCGATCTCGATGCATTGCTTAAATTTTTTGCATCTTCTCTCGACCGAAATGTATTAGTTTGAGGTTGTCAAAGGTGGAATTAATTACACAGTTAGTATAATAATTCGTGAAAATAATATATACAAATTATTAACACAAATAAATGTTTAGTATGCAAATTGAAATCAAATAAGTAGAAGAAGAAAGAAAGGAAACAAAACGGTTTTTTTTTTTTCATGCAATTGATGAGCTTTACCTGAGCTGCGTCTTCGACCCGTAGCTTCAACATACCAATCCGAATTGGTTGATCCATCTTTGTTTGTTTAACGATGAGATCAATTCGTGCAATTACAGGCAACAATCAATCAAAACCAACAAAATACGATGCGAACGACATAACAAATGATAGATATAAACGAGTGCCGCATTCACCAATAGTGTACAATAATGAAGCCAGAATAAAGAAACATAAACGATAAAATTTTCATATACAAAATCAATACAGAAACGATGGTACGGTGGCGTGCAAATAGGATGCAGATGATGATGATGAATATAAAATGAAAGAAACAGAAAATTGATGCAAAAAAATAAAACATAAATTTTTCAGCTGTGCATATAACATAAAAAGGATGGCTAACAGTGACAATATACCCACTTGAGAGTTTTCTATCGTTTTTCATTCCTTTCACTTCCGGTGATTGAGACATTGAGGATCGATACGTATCGTTATTGTTTCGCTCTGACATCAAATCAGATTCACTTTCTTCATACACATCTATTCATGCGTATCAGCATTATAGAACGGAACGGAACGAATCCATGCGAAAAATAGAAACGTTTGAATAAATTTTATCCGTTAAAATGTGATTTTGTAAAAATTTCAATGAAGAATCCGTTATCAACAAATGATCCCAAAATAAATGGAATTTATGAACAACAAAAATTTGAAAAAAAAATTCGCATGAGATTTTGCCGAAACCAGATGTCATACTTTGAGAGACCAAAAAATGATAGAAAATTTGACCAAAATTGAATTTAAATTCGAAATTGAATGAATGATTAAAGTCCGAAAAAATGATAATTTTTTTTGAAACGATTTCAACCACCATCGTGATTCAAAAGTGATTAATTGATTTCGGCTTGAGATTTTGAAAATATTGAAACAACATTTTGTAACTACTCAGTAGGTTAATTGCCAAAAGGAAAATGCTTAAAACAACATGCATCAAATGCTACCTCCACATCTACAGAAAAAAGAGTCCAATCTTAACATCTAGAAGCAAATATGCTTTTGCTAATGAAACATTGAATGAGTTACCGATTCTCCTGAACAGTTTATTTAATTGCTTTAATAAGCATGCTTAAAACACACATGTGTCACAAAAAAACTGAACAAACTCTTAAGCTCACTCGGAAGAGCCACCGACTTTTGCACACCTCGACATCATAACAAAATTGAAGTGTTATACAAGCTGCAAGTCAGAATCGTTTCGAAGATGACAAATCGAAAGTAATTGCAATTCATTGAAGAATTGAAAAATTGTTTGAAGTAGTCTTTAAGCTCCTTGGACATCGTCAAGTGGGCTTGGCAATGATAAATGAATGAAACGGCTTAAGATCCACTTCATTTACAGATAAACCGATTCAAAAGAGGGTTTATTCTATTTGCATCGAAATTGTTTGAAAGTGTGTGTGCAACGAGTATGATCGGCGGGTGTATTCAGCGTTCAAATTTATTCATGGAAATGGTTATGATTTGCAATCAGAATAATCCGTGATTTATGGATCGTTGAATCGGTTGTTCTTTTGCTATATCAATGTGTTCAAAATGCAATGTATCTTATTTACAATCAACAATATGACTAATGGCCAAAAGCATGCGCCAAAATCTGAACAAAATATGGCACATTGAAAAGAATTCTAAATTAAAATTTATGACACCTAAAGCCAAATGAATGTCGAAAATGGGAAAAAAGATGTAACTAAGAACAAAACAATGCGATGAGCAAATGTTTAAGTGATATAAATATACATTACCTGCGAGATGTGAACGTGAATATTCATCACTTTGACGTCGCATTTTATCGGCTGATGTTTCGGATTCGTCTGAATGACAAACAAACAACAACAAAAATAAACGTAAACCGAAAAGAAAAAGCATGCATAAAAACGGAAATTAGCAAACAGAAAATATATTAAAAAAATAAAAAGAATGAGCAGAAGAACCGCAAAATGAAGTATTTGAAAAAAATACACTGCAAAAACAGAGAAAGATAACAAAAACCACATCGACACCGTGCACCGCACAAAGAAATGCTGTTGTTTTGCTGAAAGAGATGCTGTTGTTTTTTTCAACGAAGTAAATTCTTTTCGACACAAACGATGAGAATTCAACAAAAAAGATATTTCCATAGACAACAATCGACAAATTCATATGAGATTCGCGTAGAAATAATGTCATTTGCAATAAATACCAAATACGCACAACTGTGAATCGAATGGCTCTCTTCGGTTGGTTTTCCAAACATCTGCAAATTGAACGTATGAGATGTTCAATCGAATGGGATTGCGCCTACTTTGAGTGTTACATAGCGGCACCAAAGAACGTACCGTTATCTTTTATTACAGTTGAAATGAGATTCTGATTTTTTTAGTACCTGATCATATTTGTTAGATAGCCTTGAAATAGGCCAATGTGTGGTCGTGTGTTTGCGTAACAAACGTATTTGACTATTTGCGCATGCCTTGTGCAAGCCATATGTTGTGAAAAAGCACTCCATTGACTAGATTTATTCTTCACGATTGATTCGATTCACAATATTTGAGTTGTAAGAATTAGTTGGGGACCATCTTAGTAAATATGTGACCAGCATCACTTCATTGAATATGACTAGCATCACATCACTGCAGAATGGTCAATGAAGTGGCTATTTGATAAAGTAATTCGCAGACTATTTAGAAACGGAAACGTTTTGTCGCCATCATTTAGACGGTGAATAAATGTTTGCACAAATTGCATATCATTGCTGCATATGTTGATTATAATGGGCGACTCTAGGTGTTTTTTTCGCAATATTTACATGTTGGCTCGACTTGATATATTCGACACAATAATCGAAATCACCATGAAATCTCAATTTAAAAATCGACACATTTGATTTACAATTTGTGCACAGTTGAAATTGACTTTTTTCTTCATTTTCTTTCGTCGTGCAATTTTATATGTTTTGCTGTTTGTTGAATTTTCTGGATTTCTGAAGCAAGAGAAGAGAAAACCAAGCAAATCGATTTCGAGCGGGTCAATGCCAAATAATTCAACACCTCCGTTCGTAACGCCTGACAGTAATTCGTTTCCAAATGCTTTGGATTTCGTTGAGAAAAATAATATAATAAAGCATCGAGTATTGAGAAACAGCCGGATTGTGTCTCATTTAGAATTGAGATCTGTCTTGTGTCGATTTTTTGACGCCTCATTATTTATATTTATCACAGAAATACTGCCCAATCATTTTTTGAAAAGAAGTCGAACATAAAACGCATACCGCTCCGTCGCGACAATTATACAATTTACCATTTGGATTTGCTTGCTCATGCCGACTTCGGCTGTGTGACGAACAGTGTGTGTGTATGTGTGTGTGGTGAAAATTGGGTGTGAATTCACTACCGTGAAAATCATCATTTGAATGGGTCGGATGTTGATCGCGCTTTAATCGGCTTTGAAACGGTTTTGTGATCGCTTAAAACAATGCCAATCTCCAGCACAATATGCCGGAGAATATGCTTTCAACGCCATTCGCGTCGGCGTATGTTTGATGTCGATTATCGTCGTTGTCGACAACAATGTGTTAAAATTTCACATTCTCGTAGAAAGTAGCTTTAAATCGTCGGTTTTTTCAAAATAGACACAATGAATATTTTGAAATGTGATAACGGTTCGCCTCGACAAAGTCACCGAGATAGAATCCATTCTGTTGTTTTCTCACATCGAATGACTCAGTTGAGTGTGTATTTATTTGCACAAAATGAATGAAAACGCGGTTTTTATATCGCGGAATACAACTCAAACGACTCAACTCCCAGCTCAAAAAGAATTTACACCTAAAGAATCAATTAAAATATCACGATAATTATCAGATTGTTCTCTCTCTCTCCCTCTCTTTTTTTCTCGCTGCGACGCAAAGAACCAATACTGGTGCCGCCAACTTCGATACCGCTTCGATATCTACCGATAGAGTGTGTGTTTTTCACTTGAATCGAGATTGATCTTTTATTTCAAGCGTAAGTGGTGCGCGACGAGTGTAAACGTATTAAATGTTACATTCTTGCAAGAGAGTTATTTTACAGTCACGTGTTATGTTGTGACTTTATTGTTATCATTCAGCTGTTTGCTCAGCTGACAATTGGTAACATTTACCACATTTGAAAATATCAACGGGAACCCCCCTTGAGATGCTGAGTCAGAAATTGACATTTAAAAAAAGAAAAAAAACCTTCAATTGCGTTCACTTTGTCAGTGGCCTGGAACTGATTGGCTCCGTCAAAAATATCACGAAATTTTGTTGATCTTCCTATCGCAATCATAATAAAAACTCCGAATGAGATTATGACTATGGCTAAACAAACACTATGGAATCTAAGCCACTCATGGCATTCTATTGCCCAAAGTGTTATGCTAATCTACTTGAAAACAAAAATAAGTTTCTTCATTTGATTTTGCACTCAAGCCATATCAAAAAAATTTGCACGAAATCGTCATCGTAGAACGCTCGCTTTTTTCGCTCTCGTGGATTCAATTTGAATACGCAAAACAGTAAAAGGAAGCAAAAGAAACGAAATGTGTGTATTTCGACGTGTTTGACCTTGGACTTGAATTGTTACAATGGATCCCATCACGTTGTTATTTCATGAATATTATGGCCGATTGTTCTTCATTTGTTGTCGAAAAAGACACCAAATAAAAAAAATCACAACATTTCAATTGTTTCCATGTTGTTTCTCTCTTTCTTACGGAATCAAAAACAGCATCACCCAGCCATTAATAATGTCAACTTAAAAAAGAGTTGTGACTGTTCAAAACTGACAAAACGCAGATAATCGCAAATTTAAAATCAAATTCGTTGTCAGTGTTAATTTCTTTTGACCATTTTCAGATGAACTCAATTGACAAATTTATGTGCGGCCCATATCATATAAACAACGCCGAACAATGGGACTTCAGAACTAGTCATGGCGATAAAACATAAATCAGAGCAGAGAAAAAACCAACAATAAACATTCAATTGCTAGTCGCGAGTTACTAGTTACTAGTCGCGAATTCTGAATGTTTAGCTGAAATCATCATCTTCTTTTTCATGAAGAACGAAGCTGAATGAAACTGGTTTTACAGTTCAGTTTTATGAACATTAATAACCCCAACGACAAAACAGTTTGCATAAACAGTTTTTGCGAATACACCCGTTTAATGCAGTTAACATTTTTCTTAACCTTAAGGTTTCATTTTGGTTATTTATTTCAAAAACCTTGTTGCTAATCACCGTGTGCTCCATCGGAAGTGGAGAAAGTCGGATTCACGTTTCGAATTCAGTTTCAATTTTTCGTTGACCAAATACGTGGAAAAAATATTGCTTGTAGGAGTCATTAGCCTAACTGCTAAAATGCCAATGACAAACCATAAAATACCACGTGCACAGCCTATGTAATTAGATAATGAATGTAATAAGTGTTTTGCATGCACATCAATATCATTTTGTTGAAATGAAATATGGATGAATGATCATCATCATCATTATTTCAGCGGAGATTTGTTGTGAGAGATCTAAATGAAACTTGATTTGTTTGAATTTGTTTTTTTTTTAAGCTCGATGCGGCGCTCTTGCATTTAAAAACGATTCCGCTTAATTAATGACGGAAATAACGTTAAGTCACACAGAGACCGCCAATAAGCTGAATCAAAACCAGCTGCAGATTTTGAGTCGATGGATCCCATCAAAGTTCATTGTTTTTGGCGAAGAAAGTTGAAAATCTTTCATCACGGCCAAATTGATGGGTTTTGATTTTTGGGGAAAAGTAGCCGCCGATCCGCATATAATGTATCTACGACGTAGAAAACTGATGATCGGCTCCCACACAAGTGAATTATTGATTCAACCGCTCTCTTCGATGAATTCGACCGAAAATGAGATGTTTTTTGAATAAAAAAAATTCATGTATTTTGTTTCGGATAGTAATTTAGAGTAGACCAAATTGAAGCTAATCAAATGGTATTTACAAAATGACTAACGGCCTCTCTCTGTGTGTGTGCAATGCTGCTCAACTGCAGCCAGTCAAAAAGCGGAAAAAAATTAAGCAGTAAAACGAGCCGATCGGAGGGAAAAAACACTGTGTGAAAAAAATTAATTTATTAACATCGACATACGATCGAGAGCGCAAGCTTGAGCGTACAGCATTTGAAATCCATTTAACGAAACATTAAAATAATCCAAGAGAGTCGTTTCATTTGGCACGAATGCCGCCTCCACGATTTGCAGTGGAAAAAATGATGTCATGTGTGTGCTCATGACAGGCGATCAAAATCTGCGTCTTTTATTGTCTATGGCGTACGTAGTTTGAGACCGAGAGAGCCCAGTGTATGAAACCGAAAGCATAGCATACCTTCTTGAATTCCGATTCCAAAATGCGAAACAACACTTTTATGTTAATAGCATTTATGTTTTATTGCACGATTTTTTCCGCTCCCGTCATCATAACCATATTTTTGTTCAGCTGTTGTTGCTATTTTAAAAGGTTTCACCATGCTAAAATTGGAACTTTTCGAGTGGTCTTTTTCGAATTGACATAAATATTTTGTTTCGCTAGATCGTCCATGATTAATTTGTTTATGAATTTATCTCAGCGATTTTTTCTGATGTATTTACTGCATTTGTACACTTTTGTTTTCATACAACGATCTGAACCACATTCTTCGCCATTGTTTGTGACGACCGTTTTGGAATGGTTTGTTTTTATTCAGCCCGCGATATGCATAGTGTCACTTTATAAATGTTCGCTTTTTTGTACACACAAAATCTTTTCAAACGTTAGCGGAACTATTTATGTCAAGTTTTACCATGTTTTATCGACTCTACAACGCTGTAACATGTTTGTGGTGTGTAAAAAAGCCTAGGTGTGAATGCGATAATAAAATGTTGCGCGATAATTATAATTTGGCTGATAAGAAACTTGTTAAAGCGAGAAAAGTTGTTATTTTTTTCATCAATTAAAGATATCACCGGAAAGATATCAGCTCATGATATTGGGATAAAAAAAACTCCACAATGCTAACATTCATTACGAAAATCCCAATTTGGACGAAAATGAGATGCATTGCGTTCGATTGATATGCAAAAAAATTCATTCTTGGCCCCAATTGTTCTCGTGCAATTTTCAATTTGAATGCTTCATTTGTTGTGTTTCATTCAAAGAAAAAGCGTTTGTACTACTGTTGAATTTCACTGCCATCGGTTTTTAATGGAAATCAGCGACGAAATTCCCATCGAATCAATCATATGGAATTTCTTTCAAATTCACGTTTGTTTTTTTTTTCCAATGTGAATCAACAAGGCAACCGAAGAAAAACTAGTCAAGACGTGAACTTTGCAATTACTTCTGAAAATGGTAACCAGCTGACGGTTATTTCGCAACGAAATTGATTGCATATCAGACTGCATTATGTCATTTGCAATTGAATTCGAAGTGAGAGAAAAAACACACGACCCGTCGCAATGACAATGATCTAGAACGCTTTGGACGGTGTTTTTTTTGCTGTCGCGAAGCCCCTTGATTTGCACATAAATCAAGCCGAGCGCAATGCATCAATGTGCAACAATAATTGCTTGTGACAATGATGAGTATTGAATCTCTGTGTTTCGGACACAAACTGAGCTCTCATCGATGTTGAGGGCTCTTGTTGAAAAATTACGTCACACTGATTTATTTTATCTTTCTGTCATCGAATATCAACAATCGGCACATATTGATACACAACACTTGGGACTTTTTACGTCGTTTATTTTTGCGCTTGTGCGCCCAACTATGGACTAGCTAACTTTTCAAAACCCATAAAATGTGTGAATGAAAAATTGCTTTTGAGAGTTCACGTCACTGTGTTTCAATGATCATGAGCATGACACGAATCTCGACATGCACATACAAATATATGCGTACTATTGCGCCGACATGAATAAACATTAAATCATTACGTACAAAATGATTCTGATAAAGCGATTTTTTTCTTCTCTCTTTTACAATGATGATCATATATGCTCTGCGTGCAATTCGCGCACAATACAAGCAGACATGACTTGGGATCGATGATTAAACTCGCATATATTTAAATAATTTACTATAAATACGGTCAAAACGGATTTGAATTCGCATTAATTGGCTCCACCAAACCACCAGCCAACTATATACTGTTTATAGAAATGGAATAAAATTTCCAGAGTGCTTTCGAAACAAACAACATCAACAATATTTCTCACTTTTGTACACAATGATCACATCGCAGTACCATCCAACGTTTTTTTTCTCTTCTGTGATTTTTCAAAGACGGAAAAAAGAAGAAGAAAAAACTCGAATGAATTCTAAATAAGAATTTGAATTCGATTATATCTCGGCGATGTGGCTTTCGGAATGAACAAACTTGACTGAACACGTTTCATGTTTCGATGCTTCGCAGTATTTTTTTCTTTTGACATTTGACGAGAAAAAAAACAAGACACGATTGAAATGATGAAATTTTTTTTTCAAAAAATTACCTAAATCGTAATTGTTTGAAGGAAAAAACGGTAATTTTGTTCTCAGTTGAATTGACTCAAATCCCTGGTGAATAATTCGACGATTTCCCCAATGACCTTCGGCGTTTGTGTTATTATTTGTTCGTGTTGTTCCAACTTGTTGCAGTGAAAGAATGTTTTTTTTGGCTCTCCGTGTGAAGAAGAAATCAACTGATTTTTTTTTAGCGCTTAAACTGAATCGAAGAACAGCTATCGCTTTGCGATCTTCTGAAAGACTAAAGCAACAAGCGCGAAACAGTGATCGCGTAAGCGTGATGATTTTGACGCTCTCAGTTACACACCACCACTTCGACAGAAATAAACGAAAAAAACAACAAGCGTTCATGGGAATCGTGAACGCGCATTGACACTATGTACATGGAGAAAACCAGATATGATATAAATTGTATTGTTTGCACGCTGAGTCAGAGGAGAGACAGCGTGAGAATGAGTATATATGTATGTAATGTGTGCATGTTTTTCGTTTTCTTCTTTAAATACGCAACACCCGATCGTCGGTGTTTAAGTTTGAACAAATCTATTCCGCACATGACAGCCGATCGCTAGATAAAATTTATTGATTATTCGCTCAATATTTAAAATACTTTTTAAATACTTTTTCTCCTTTTTCTTTTTTCTGTCTCTTGTTTGTTCTTTCTTCTTGCTTCTCTCAATGAAGAAAGCTATTCGTTCTTCACAAGTCAAATCGATTGTTTTGCGTTGCGTAAATTGAATTTATTGCATTTGACCTTCTTTGTTCCTCGAGTTCTCATAAATAACAATGAAGTTTGATCCTGATTTATCGAATGAGATGAAATTTATTGGCATTTAACGACGAACATGGAATAATGAACAAAAATACGAAATGGAATTACGCACAAACATAGAAACGAAGAAACAGTTAAACCAACAAAAAAGAAGTGTTTTCCATCGATGTTTACAAATAAAGAGGAATGAACAATTTTCCGGTGACTAACACATTTTCTACATTTTGCTGCTTTTCATCCATTTCTATTGCACGATGAATGAATGCCGATTGTTGTGATCAACCGTTTTTTTGCTACTTAATCATTTTCACGGAGCATATGTGCTTTTGTTTTATTTTGTGTGTGTGAACATATTCGATTAAATGGTGCCTTTGATTATTATCAACATTGATGTTAATTAAATGTCTTTAAATAGGTTAACCTAATTATTATTATTATTATTTGCGTCATATGCACGAGCAGTCATTTGCTGCGTTACATGCTATTTTAATTGCTGCAAAAAAACACAATTTCTCAAACAATTTGGCGTCGTTCATGTTTTCCGTTCGCCTTTCGGCAGGAGATCAAAAACGAGCACATTTTTTTTGCTTCTACCACAGATAAACAAAGAAAAAACTGAAAAGTGGTACTTACTTTTGTGTAATTCTAACGGAGGTGGACCAGCTTTTGCACCGTGGCCATGCGCTGTGCATAAGCGGCCGATTCTGCTTGAGACCGGTGTTGAAGTTACCGTAATCGATGAGGTAGATGGTTTTCGAATGGTAGCTGTGGACGATGGCGGTCTCATGCCCGTTGGCTTTAGCAATCGGGACGATGCAGTCGACACATCACTTTTAATTGATTTCTCTGATGGGGTCGGTGACGGTGCTCGTACGGGTTTCTGCAGCTCTTGAGCCGCTCCATCAGTCTGTGATTCCGGGTTTATTTCACTCATTTTCCTTTCAGTATTTCATGAACGTTTCTGTCACTCTGTTTGCTTTGTTCACTATTTGTTTGTTCGATTGATTGATTGATTGATGAGATTTTCGAAATTCCGTTCACGTGGTTCGCGGTCATTTGAATACTTCGATCCAAAAATTTGCATCGAAATAAGCAAATGAGAAAGTGGTGCACGAAGCTGAAGGCGACACCACAATTTATGCTCTTATCATTTAAACACACTTACCTCATGCACATACAAATACACACAAAAATGTTTAAAAATAGATTTCAAATATGAAAATTCATATAGCTTCGATGAAACTGGTTTTCTATTGCAAAAAAAAACAACAACATGAAATTGATTAGCTCAGTGCCGGTGACCTTTGTTTGCGATTTTGTAATATTTCGATGAGTTCATCGTCGTGATAAAGTACTGGCACACTTATGTTAAACTTTTATTGGTTGCAAGAAGGAAATTTTTTTCTCGTTTCACACACACCACTTGAGCATAAATAATTTCAAGTTTGCACTCGTTTGGTCGTTGAACAGGGCAATTTAATTCAGACCTCACATCATCATTTCATTTTTGAAACCAGAACAAATGTCGAACACTCTACTTGATACATCTTTAAATAGCACACACAAATACACTTACAACGAAAAAAAAGAGAAAAAAAAATGAAAGAATAATTCACAGGTTGTTCCACACAGATAGAGAAACACTTTGCTTGTGCTCAGCTCATAAAATATATCAATGCAAGAGATATTTCTTTGCAAAAATGTTGCACTCAATGAATTCGAAAGCAATCATACTTCTTTTGGCTTGAATGCGGCTGCAGATAAGCATGTAAACATAATTTTTTTCTGTATTGCTATCTTCAGTTTTACACACTATGCGCAAACACTCAGAACAGACCACGAAGAAAAAACTTGTCCAAAAACTTTAATGAAATCTCGCGTCAATTGATTTTACACGGCACAAACTTTAATATTCTCGTATTCGCAATAAAATTATGCATTGAATCGTCGACTATTTACATTGGTGGTGTTCCAAATATTTGCTCAAACTTTAAATAGAAAAAAGAAGTCACACGCAACAATTTCAAAGCCCAGCTGACATTTAGCTGCGATATGGCGCACTTTTCTCACTTAATGTGTGTCTTACTACGGTTTGCACCTTTTGACTTGTTGTCAATGATCTGTCAAAGTGTGCGTATGTAGTGGTGATTCCGTAAATGGAACATGTAAACAAAACGTTCTGCGGTGACATCTAGCGCCTAGTTGCATAAGTACGGATGGGTCGAACGTCCAACGAACCGTACAGCTGAGAATAAATTCATTCATGACGTCAAAATTATGTGATAGGAATGAAAAAAATTAATTAATTTTGTTCCATATGATGAATGAATGAGTGGAAAGAGATTGATACTTTGATTTTTTAATCGATTTCAATCGAAATTTCTTCAAAATACTCCAATTTCAACCATGAATGCCTTCAAAGTACTACAATTTAACAAGTAAAATCACTAAAATAATTCAAAGATACACAAAAATGTAATCAAATTGAAACGTAAATCATTTGTTTATGAATTGTCTTCAATGAGTCTGTGCAATAGAAGGTCCATCTATCGCTCCGTCAGCACAACTAAACTCCCGAGCTTACTTCAGTTGCTCGCTGGATTTAAGTGTACAATTCAAAAATGTAAACAATTGCAAAATCCATATTCAACATTTCTGTACACCCGTCGTTGTGCTATATCGTTCAAATGGCATAATTTATCAATTTTACTTACTAAGTAGTTGCCACTCAAAATCCGATGGAAAAGCTCAATTAGCGTAAAAAAATCCCTGAATTAAATCCGAATATTGAATTGCCGCCACGGTCTGGATTGACACAGCTTTGCGCCACCATCCGCATCGGCCGTACGACCCATGCGACGCAACGCATACTTGCCGCTATCGTAATGACAGCTCCGATTTTTTCTCGCTCTGGCTTCAGTATTCGAGTGCAATCAATGAAAACTGTTCGCATTCATTAAACTTAGCAGATTTTTCAATTCAATTTTTCTCAACAATCAAAGTGATTGTAACAAATTTGGCAAAATGTTATCAATTAAATCGATGTGAAGTGAATGTCACACAAAAATGGTGAGCTGTTAATTAAATAGGAAATAGTGTGAAATCGACGAAAAGGGCGATTTCTTTCTTCAGCATACGTAAAAACCAAGACATGAAAAATCAATCGATAGTTTTGTGTCGTTCTGTATGTTATGTGAATATGTGTGGATTTGTTTGGTTTTTTTTACGCCATGCAAACAACGGATGAATCGGTTCTTATCGCTTTTATTTTTCTTAGATTGCTTTGAAATAAACGAAACGAAAGCAGAAAAAACACAATCTGGAAAATCCATAATAGCAATTACAGTGGAAACAATTGGACATTTTTTTCTGTGCTGTTGTCAGTGAATGAATGGTGGTACATCTTATTGATGTTAGTCGAGTGTGCGTGTGTTGGATACTGTGTGTTGCGGCTGAATCGCAAACGGTTGTGTACATGGTGTTCTATCAAACTTTTGACATTTTATCCGACGATAAAAAAAAAACATAATTCAACACAAACAAATTCAGCTAGGCATACAATCCATATTTTTTTATCTCTGTTCTCTTCTGTTTATTTCTTTTTCTGTTGAATTATGAGTATTTATATGGAATAATGTGCTATATAAAGTGTGTATCATTTGAGGTAGGAGGACCGATTGAATAATTCAAGAATAATGAGACTTGACTGACTACAACATGTTATGAGTAATAATCAATTGATTCAAATAGAATTTGTCTTTCGCCCGACTATTCTCTCTCTCTCGCTCTTGCTCTGTGTTTTTGTAACTCGAATCTCATTTGGTATTCAGTAGTTTCAGTCGTTCGCTTGATTTTTCGTTGTTCAATCAAATGAACAAAGTGAAGAGCGTGGAATGAATAAAACGAAAACATACGGTGGTGCGCCAAGGCAGTATGCAAAACATTATTGTAGGCGGATTCGCAATTGAAGTGCTAGCTAATTATCAATTCGAATTCTTGTTTCATTCTCGATCAATTAGCGGCTAAATATGGGAGATTGAGAGAGTGGAAGAGAGAGAGAGAAAAGTGTTATAACGCATTTCGAAAGAAAAAAAAATTAATTTGCACAGCTAGGGTTTGTGGTAGTTTGATGCGCATAACGTTAACTAAATATATTTTTTTATTCTGTTTCATACAAAATATTTAATAGATTCATTGAGGCAGAATGCGAGCATTCAACTAGAGCCGTTCTTCGAATGCTGATAACAAGATAATTATAGCATTGAAGCTGAAGATATAACTTAAAGTCGAGAATAGGTAGGCGAATTTGTTTGTGTCGTCAGCTCTATTCAATCGACAAAAAGTGAAAGAAGAAAGAGAAGGAGGAGAAGGAAGAGAAGGTGAGGTACTAAGAACGTTTCACACACAACCTTCACCATGAATATTATGCGAAAATTGCGCAGTGGCACGAGCCAAACACCTGCCACTAGTACAGCCAGCAATGACAGCCCAGCCGATTCCATTGAGACACCCGATTCGCCACACACACAACTCAGTTTGCAGCATTTGAAGAAACTTTTCAATGAGTACACACATCCGAAAGAGGTGCTTAACGAAGCAGAACGCGACTTCAAATTATACAATATGCTGCCGCTGTTTTGCAAGGTGTTTGGAACGACACATGCCAGCGATATGAGTGAAAAATTCTGGGACATTTTACCATTTTGTCAGCAAGTATCACGGTTGATGGTGTCCGAAATACGGAAACGTGCATCAAATCAAAGTACTGAAGCGGCATCGATAGCGATTGTAAAGTTTTTGGAAATCGATAATTGTGAGGAGTCAAGCAATGGATGGATGTTGCTCACAACATTGAATCTATTGGCAGCTGGTGATTCATCATTGATTCAAACCATGACATCGGCCTCGGTCCCATCGACCTTAGTCAAATGTTTGTATTTATTTTTCGATTTACCTGAAATTCCTGAAGCCGATGCGGACAGAGAAGATGGCAGTGATTTTACGCAGCGTGAACGTCGAATTTTGTTGCAGAAAATTTTCGTGCAACTTTTGGTTCGATTGTGTTCATACCCGTATCCAGCTGAAGAGCTAGCGCGCATGGATGATTTAACGTTGCTATTCTCGGCGATAACATCACAATGCGTTCCACAGAATGTGATTTGGCGAAAGTCGGCCGCCGAAGTGCTAACAACACTCTCGCGGCATGGTTTGTCCGAGCCCGTTGTCAACTACATTCATTCGAAGGGCTGTGTAGCGTTGTGCATTGAAAATATGCAACGTGCACCACAGTTGCAGCCACTTGAGATCGTCGAAATGTTCGTAGCCGTGTTTTGTTTTCTCAAAGACTCCAGTGAAGTGTCTCAAGTGCTGTTGGATGACTTTCGTAGTAGTCAAGGGTATATTTTCCTTGCGGATTTTCTGCTGAAATTGGAGGCTGAACGATCCAAAAATAGTGATGCAAATGCAGCGATACGGAATCTTGTGCTAATGATTGCATCGTTGTGCATGTGCGGTTACACCGAGTTACGGCCTAATCAAAGCCAATCGAATCCACTGTTCCAGATTCAGGGCTTTCAAATGCCACAAACATCGTCGCGCGGTTCATCCGTACGGAATATACATGCATTTCAAGTGATGCAAACGGTTTTCCTTAAATCCAACTCCAGCTCGTTGTGCTGCACGATAATTGATGCCATTTCCAGTGTTTACCATTCCGACAACGCCAATTATTTTATACTTGAACCGCAGAACACACTCAGTCAATTCATCGAAAAGATTCATTTGAAAAGTCACATCGTTCAAGAGAAATGCTTTGAGCTGCTCGAGTTTATCGTGTTTCAATTGCATTTTGTACCATGCAAAGAGCTCATATCACTGTCCATTCTAATCAAAGGCTATCAATCAATTAGCTGTAACACGCTATGCATACGTACACTACTGAATATTCTAAGGTAAGAATATCAAATGATTTGACATTTTCCACACAATTGCCTTTCATTCTAAGACAATGCTGTTTTGTTCGACCATTTATTCACACAGACACAATAGCATATTTAAAGACGTCTATCGGGAGGTGGGTATTTTGGAAGTGTTTGTCGGATGCTTAATGAAATATTCCGAGTTTCTAGAAAAACATGTGAACGTTGAATCGGACCCCTACGATTTGGAGCTAACAAATGAGGAGGATATTGAAAATGGTAACAATTTGGACGATCAAAAATTCTAACTGAATTTTTCAGCTAACAAAATATTAATCGTTCGTTATTTTTCGTCAAACAGATCCGAATGAAGTGTTTGGGAAGCTGGTGATTGAATCGTTGGGAATTTTATTGAATGGCAATAACAACAATGCAAAAGTATTTCGAGAGAGTGGCGGCGCAAAGTGTATTCACGAAATGATTAAATTCAAGCACAATCGAAATCACACACTCGGCATTATACGAGAGCTTGTACTGTCGGCTAGCGGTGATGATGATATGACATTTATTCTGACAACAATGCACTCAGCCCCTCCACAGAATATTGAACTGAAAATGCAAATTCTGAAAGCATTGCTCAGTTGTTTGCGTGATAGCCATCGAACGAGAACCATATTCCGAAAAGTCGGCGGTTTTGTCTATGTTACCAGTGTTTTCGTGTCGTTGGATGGTAAATTGGGCGATGACATGAAGGACGATAGCAAACAAATCAAAGATATTCTGCATCTTCTACATTTGGCCTGTCAAACTCTGTCGACGGCAATGCGATTCGAACCGGCCAACGCCAAATTTTTCCAACAAGAAATTTGTAACACTTCTCTGTGCAATACGCTACGTTTGCTGGGCTGCTTCAGTTTAACAACCGAGCTGGGTGACAAACGGTGCTCCAGAGCCAACGAAAGTGCAAAACACTATTTCCATTCATTATTCATGAGCAATCCGTTGCAACCGGAATTCGACAGCAATTATCCAGCGTCGCTGTCATTTGCTACTCTAGTCTACCGCTTTTTGTATGACATCACATTGGATAATTTCGATAAGCCCAATTTGTCGGGTCTTGCATCGGTCACAGCAAGCAGTGCATCTCAATCACAACCACCGAGCCAACCGTCCAAAGATCCAAGAAGCTCAGTTTCGTCATTGAATTTAACAACACCACAACCAGAGCCAATGATTGTGCATCCATCAGTGGTAATTTGTATGCTTCAGCTACTGCCATCAATTGAACACGAAACGGAAAACGACACATCTTTAAGTCTGCAAATGTATCTGGCCGACGTGCTAAAGAGTTTGGTGCGAAGTGAACGCAATCAGCAGGTTATGTGTGATGCAGGTGAGTTATTTCTACTTTTATAAAGTGAAAAGGGTAATAAATTACGCTCGATTCGTTAATTTTTACAGGTTTGGCTGGTTATTTGCTAAAAATCGGTCGAAAGTCATTGAGTGAGGAAGGAAATGCACTGCACGAGCCATTACAATACATTCTAGAACGTTTGGCTGCTCAAGCACTACAACCAACCGAATTGCGAGAATTTCTCCGCTTGGGCATGCCTTTGTGCTGTGAAAGTCCTAATTTCATAAAACCGTATAAATCTGGCGGTCCAGTTCAATTAACCAGAATCAAAACTTTAGTGTCTATGACAACACCGCGCGATTTCCGAGCCCATGCGTCATGCACACTCCCACCGTTTGTCGAGATGGATATGTCGAGTGAAGGATTTGGCTGTCTATATTTACCGAGTATCGCACCACAGGCCCCATCAATTGGCAGTAGTTTTGATGGCTCTGTTATCGGTGGAATCGGTTCAGGAGATCGAGTTTTCCCGCCACAAACTGGTCTGAGCTACACCAGCTGGTTTTGTGTTGACAAATTCTCTGATCCACGAACCGATCCACATTGTGTACGGCTGCTAACTTTGGTGCGTACTGTAAACATTCCACGTGAAGATAATTTGGTGTGTTTGACTGTTTTGCTGTCAGCGCGCGACAAGGCGATCATCGTTTCGACACAAGAGACATTGGTTCCACACAGTAAGTGCTTTTGTGTTAGTAATTTTAAATGAGTGGAAGAGATTTTTTGTTGAGATTTTTTTCCACTAAAAAAATCCCCTGGAAATAATTCAAATTCCATTGAAACAGATGTTGGCGAATGGGAACCGGAGAGTGGCGGTGATAGCAGTGCCCGCATTTGGTGCCCCGATTTATTGCACGAAGGACAATGGCATCATTTGGTGATTGTCCTGAATCGAGCCGTTTTGAAAAATTCCAGTTTTTCATTATTTTTGGATGGTCATGTAAGAGTTCCATGGGAGTGAAATTTCATTAAAATCAAATCAAATCAAAATCGAACATAACTTTTGATCAACACAACCGCTAACTGTTTTCTATTTGATCCAAAATCTAATTACAGCACATGCATACTCAAAAACTACATTACATTTCACAAAATCCGGGTGCAAGTTCTACGAATCTCGCGGTTGCAAGTTCTGTGTTCGGTTTAATCGGCACACCGCCCGATTATAGACGCCAATCGCGTTTATGCTGGAAACAAGGTGTCTGCCACCTCATTGAAGACATTATCACTCCGCAAGTGGTCTCGACGATATATGCATTGGGGCCACATTACATGGGTTCATTGCAAGCGCCACAGCTCGGAAAGCAAAGTGAACCCATGAACCCACTGGTGGCCGAAGAACGTGTCATGTTTGGATTGAATGCCAAGGCAATGTCACATCTAACATTGGCCAAGATTCGAAAAGTCTATAGTCGTGCTGATAACAAAGCAATCGCGAAGCAGTTGGGAATGAGCTCACATGAGAATGCAACTCCAATCCGGTTAGTAACACACAAGAATTTGAATAAGTTAAAAGTAGATACTGAACTCCGCTTTAACTTTCTCTATGTATAAAATTTGTTTATTTTTTCTTTTCAAAAACAGAATACTGCACAATTCGGCTGGACACTTAGCTGGCTCTGCTCGTACTCTGGGTGGTGTTGTTGTCGGTTACTTGGGAGTACGTGTATTCAGTCCGCATCCAGTTTCAAAAATGATTGACACCGTTGGTGGATGCAATATCCTATTGGGAATTATTGCAATGGCACAAGACGTTGAAAGTCTTTATGCCGGTGTTAAAGCGTTGACGTGTGTGGTGCGCAGTAATCGAGCCGCTCAAAGTGAAATGGATCGAAAGAGAAGCTACCAAACCCTTGCGATGTTCTTTAAAAAGAAGCGAAATTTACTCAATTCACACATTCTTCATCTGACATTTAGCCTGGTCGGAACGGTGAATAGCGGCCAGGAATCCTCTGCCATTCCAAATATTACGGCATTCCAAGTGAGTTTCATTTCATTCGATTCTATCAATTTATTCTCAAATATCAAAAATGATTCCTAAATGAAATGTTCTCATTCAAAAATCCTCTTCTTCATTCTCTAGGATCTGTTGTGTGACCTAGAGATTTGGCATGGTGCACCAAATGATTTGCTGAGATCCCTTCTTGAGCATTTATTGGAGTTGAGCTCTGAATCGAGCGAAAAACGTTCAAATATTCGAATAATGCGTGATCTGCAACTGGTTACCAAACTGCTTCATGTAATACCTGATATTTATGATCCGAATACTTCGGAAATTGTCTACTCATTGCTTTCAGTTCTATTGGGCAGTCAACCTAGGCATTTGGATCTTCTCTTTTTCGGACAGTACATCGCTGCTAAAATACCATTGGTTCGTTGACTACTCCATTTTTACATTAAAAGAATCAAATTTAAGTGCTTTTTTATAATTTTTAGAGCACAGCAAGCAGTGAGAAACAATTGAAGTTTAACCCAGATCAAAAAGATATTGATGCAGCTATAAAGGATGTACCAGATCAGCAGCAAAGAGATGCTATCAAAAATATTCTTCTGCGTAATCGTGGTATACGTTTGCTGCACTCACTTTTATTCACGTCGAGAAATACCGTAAATAATCACTTGTGCGATGATATCTCCCGAATTCTTGGCCTAGATTGGTTACTACTTTTGCTGCAGCCACAAATTCATGCATCAACAGTGATTTTGGGTTAATATTTTTGCCAAGTGGCAATTTGATACCTGAGTATCATTTATTTAACATGCAACTCTTTATTCAAACAATTTTTTCTTCGAATTCTACGTTTAGGCATGCGAATATTGGTTGTTGTATGTGCAAATGAGACCATAATCGGACGATTCCGTGAGGGTATGCAAAACGGTGGCTACATGAAGTTCACCGAGCAGGTGTCACAAAGTGGTGGTCTGGTGTTTACTTCGCAAATCAGTCCACAGCCGGCATCGAGTGGATCGATTGTACAAGTGCAGCCGGGTTGTCAGTTGCCGGCCCAAATCGCAAGTGAAGTGAAGACGGCTGTGTTGCGAATTCCTGGTTTTCAATATTTGGAATGGCTTCTACCCCATCACTTGGTAGTACCAGAACTTTATTTCCTGCTAACGGCTTTGATTATGGGTCAACCGGTGAAAGTGCTCGGCACCGATCATACAAAATTGGATTTAGATCGAGTTTGGGCGTTCTTATGGGGTTCATCGGTATTGCAATCACCATCGCCCAAGGTGCATCTATGCCCAGAAGGTGTGTGCGTCTTGCTGAGCATGATTCGACAAATTGTACACGATTGTGATTATCAATTGGATTGGCTCATTTCGCATCCGGTCACCATAATCCATGTGCTATTTTCCATTTATCACAATCTCCCGGATTTCATGTCCGTTATGATGATGGGCGATGTAATCAGTTCATTGACAGCGGTGCTATTTCCAATTGTCAACAAAGAAGGAAATAATTCCGAGCAAAACAGTAATGCATCAACGCCAAACGATGACGGTGTCGTCATCAATTCCCCGCGAATGATTGAAGCTCAGCTAACAGAGAGCTCTGTGCGAAAATTCGTTATTGATTTTCTGCGTGTAATCGTCGTTGATTCACTATCACTGGCATCAACGAATGGAAAAACGCCTCCGGTTACCGATTTGGTTTTGGATGCATCGCCTGAAAATAGCGATTCAACGCATCAAATTTCATATCAAACGGAAATAATCACCGCACTCATGGATCATTTATTGGCCGCTGATGTTCTAGTTGGCGAACAGGCTGCATTGCCAATTGTTCCATTGCTACAAAGTCATGTACAAAACATTGCGCCGAATGTCTTTTACTTAACGGCACGCATCGTCGATAAAATGTGGCAAGGACAATTGCAAAAAGATCCCCATGAAATTTTCGATTTCATCATAAAATTAATTGGCCAGGCGAAGCGGCGTTCGTCATCACTGTCACTCGAACAACTTCATCATTCACTGAATCGCATTATTCTGTACCTTTTGTCGCGTCCTACTGAAACAGTGACCGAACAAACGGCTGTCTTGGAAACACTTCACAAATTGACCACACATCGCCTGCTAATCTTTGGGGCTGGCAACCATGAACTTGAATTTATCGGGTGTTTGACCTACTGTCTACTGCAATTGACTGGTGATTTCAAGATTGAATTGGATCCAAATTCAGCAAATCGTAGCACCAAATGGCATGTTAGTCCAACAAAGGAAGAGGTTGAGTCGCGGGATCATCTTTTGAATCAGCATCAAGGTAAAAATTTAATTGTTGGCGCCGCCCACCGTGTATGGGAAGAGTTGTATGTTTGCAAGAAGCCAGCTATAGAAGAGGTATTCAAAATATCATTAACTACACCACCGAGCAATGCAAAAGCTCCCACGTTGTCTGCGACACGAGAACAAGTCATTGATGCAGCTAGCAAACTTTGGTACAACTACGTTGATATGGAACGGAAAGCAACCTATCGAGTTCCATGGGAGTTCCACAAAGAAATTCAGTCGAAAATTCAAAAGGTCACCGGTGGTCTAACACGTTTGGCCAGCCGGACAAAAGTTAAAAAAGATGAGTATGTGAGGACGAAATCACAGATTCTTAAGAGCCAGGCAATCGAATGGACTGATATCAATGTGGGGCTGGTGAAAGATTTGTGCGATCAACGATATGTACAGCATGTGAATATGACACAGCATACGCTACGATATGTTTGTCAAGATTGGCTACAGTCAGAACGTGAACTGATTCGAGAACGTGGCCTATGGGGTCCGATAAAGGTGAGTGGTAATTTTTTTCTTCAAAGAAGTAAGGACAAATAGAATTTAACAACCGTTTACAAATTTCAGAGAAATTACTTGGACAAATGGGTGTTGGATTCAACCGAAGGACCGCATCGAATGCGAAAGAAGACCATGCGCAACGATCAATTCTATTCACAATACATCTACCGGCCGGAATTGGAAGATCCAGAAAATGTAAGCTATACCTTTAACATTTCTCTTCAATTAGAATACAAAATATTGCCTTTTCTTTTGCAGAGGCAACTAAAATACAAAGTGGCCACCAGTTTCGATAGTAAGCCGTTCTTCAAGTTCTGTCAATTGCCACCGAGAGTGCTATGCGAAGATGTGGCTACGTTTGATTTACAAAAATCCGATAAAGCACAGTGTGCTTCACCGACACAGAGTCCCAGTGAACAATTGCCAACATTGGCACGTGCTCAAAGTGAACCAGGCGGAGAGGAGGCAGAAAATGAAGGCGAAGAAGAAGTGTCGTTAATTTCAGACAATCAAACACTATTGCGAATGCTTGAAGAACAAGAGAAAATTTCGCACATGTTTCGCTGTGCTCGCATTCAAGGGTTGGACACTTATGAGGGTCTGTTGTTATTCGGGAAAGAGTATTGTTATGTTATCGATGGATTTACATTGATTAAGAATCGCGAAATTCGGGACATTGATTCATTGCCATCTGGAGCGTATGATCCGATTTTGCCCAGTCCAAATAGCCCCAGACGTTCACCACAAACGGTGCGTCAATGCTCGAAATTTTCGTACGAAGACATTCGTGAAGTTCATAAACGGCGATATTTGCTCCAGCCAATCGCTTTGGAAGTATTCTCTGGTGATGGTCGCAATTATTTGCTAGCGTTCCCACGTAAGGTTCGAAACAAGGTCTACCAAAGATTCATGGCGCTGGCAACGGCAATCGCAGACAATGCTCAGCAATCGGTGGCGGGTCAAAAACGAAACGCAAGCGTTGAACAAACATCGGGAATATTCAGCAGTTTGATTGGTGAAACTTCCGTTACACAAAGATGGGTGGTATTTATTACACTTGATTCGTATTTCAACATAAGTGTTTAGAACGAATTATAAATTTTAAATTCCCATTTTCAGCGCGGCGAAATAAGTAACTTTCAATACTTGATGCATTTAAATACATTGGCCGGACGGTCGTACAATGATCTCATGCAATATCCCGTATTCCCCTGGATTTTGGCTGATTACGATAGTGAAGAGTTGGATCTGAACAGTCCGAAAACATTCCGTAACTTTGCAAAGCCAATGGGTGCTCAGAGTCCAGAACGATTGGAACAATTCCAAAAACGCTTTAAAGAATGGGACGATCCACATGGCGAAACACCACCATATCATTACGGCACTCATTATTCATCAGCTATGATTGTATGCTCATATCTCGTTCGCATGGAACCATTCACACAGCATTTCCTACGTTTGCAAGGCGGTCACTTCGATTTGGCCGATCGAATGTTTCACAGCGTGAAAGAGGCATGGTTATCTGCATCCAAATTCAATATGGCTGATGTTAAGGAATTAATCCCGGAATTCTTCTATTTGCCGGAGTTTTTGTCAAATTCTAACAATTTTGATTTAGGTACGGTTAATGGGAGTCTTTTTTTTGATTGTCATAATTTGGATTTCTTCCAAATTTGTTTCACCAATTCGGGATGGATTTGAAACATGTTTACTTTTTCTTCGAAACAGGTACAAAGCAAAATGGTGACACATTGAATCACGTAGTTCTGCCACATTGGGCTAAACAAGATGTTCGTGAATTTATACGTGTGCATCGTCAAGCACTCGAGTGTGACTATGTCAGTCAGAACTTGCATGCATGGATCGATTTGATATTTGGTTGCAAACAACAAGGAAATGCAGCAGTTGATGCGACCAATGTGTTCCATCATTTGTTCTATGAAGGCAATGTTGATATATACAACATTGATGACCCTTTGAAGAAGAATGCCACAATTGGGTTTATAAATAATTTTGGACAAATTCCAAAGCAATTGTTCAAAAAGCCGCATCCATGTAAGAAAATGTCATCGAGTCGCACATCCATCATCGACGCAAACCCATTATTATCATCGACTGTTGCACAAAATGACAAACTATTCTTCAATAACTTGGATAGTTTGAAACCGGTATGCTTTTGAGAAAGTTATACAATCGATTTTTCTCTTCAAATTTTCACAATTTATTTACTCATGAATTCTATTACAGAGTCTGCAACCGATCAAAGAGTTAAAAGGACCCGTTGGACAGATTATTCATCCGGATAAAACCGTTTTGGCTGTGGAACAAAACAAAGTGCTGATGGCACCGACATTTTCACGCTACATTGCATGGGGGTTTGCTGACCATTCACTTCGAATTGGCATGTACGATTCAGACCGTGCATTGTTTGTATGTGAAGCATCTGCTCAAAATTCCGGTGAAATATTGGCATGTGCATGCCCGAATGCGAGAACAATCGTAACAGCTGGCACAAGTTCCGTTGTTACTGTGTGGGAGTTTGATAGTCGCCGAAAGTCGTTGACAGTTAAGCATTCTTTGCATGGTCACATTGATGCGGTCACATGTTTAGCGGCTAGGTAAAAGTTTAAACCAATCTATTTCTTTCAAAACTGTTTTTTTTCTTACAGTTCAAGTTGTAAACTGAATTTATCCATTTTTTAGCACACCTTACAACATGATTGTATCGGGTTCAAGAGATGGGACGGCAATCGTGTGGGACATGTCCAGATTCACATTTGTCCGGCAGTTGAGCGATCATGTTGGACTTGTGGCGGCTGTTAGGTAATAGTTTAAAACAACTAATTTCTTTCACTGCACTGTCTCTTTCCTAATTACTCATTTTGAAGTAAATAAAATATTAACTGAATTTATCCATTTTTTCAGTATCAACGATCTAACAGGTGACATTGCAACTTGCTCAGCGACATGGCTTCACATTTGGTCTGTCAACGGCGATCCACTGGCGACAGTCAACACAAGCATTGGCAGTGCTGATCGAATGCAGCAAATATTGTGTGTAACATTTTCTACAGCACGCGAATGGGATCAACAAAATGTCATAATCACCGGATCCACTGATGGCGTCGTTCGCTGTTGGAGCATTGAATACGTACAAAAACCGATTGAGAAAGAGGAGTCGAACGAAACAATTGAATCGGAAGACAACGACAATAATGACAGCTCCGATAATAAATCGTCGTTTGATGAAAATACGACGATGAACACATCTGTAGAAATAACTAAAGTCGATTTGATTAAGCAAATTAGTATCACGCAAAAAGAAAGTAGGTATTGAGCACTTTGAAAACAATGACATCCATTTCGAATCCTAGTCCAAAGATAGCTAAAAGTTGCAAATGATCCGTCCAAAAATTTGGAGAGAATTGATGGTAACTTTCCCATTCTATTTCTGTTCAGCTCTAGCGAAATCTGATTCCGAAAGTAGTATATCCGAAGCGTGCGATCATACCAAGAATGCTCAACCAGAAGCAGTTGAACCAACCGATAGAGATGATGCAACAAAAACAATGCGAAAAGAGATTCTAGAGATACCCATAGCAAGTATGAGCAAACGTGGCAGTTTGACCAGTGCAAAATCGTTACACGAGTTAAAACGAGAGCCATTGCCTGACGAACCATCTGGAAATCAAGATCCAAAGGCTGATAATGAATCAAAGACTACTGGCGATGAAGCATTCAGCATTTCCAAGGGCATTCGACCGAGTAAATCAGAAACCAGTATCATTGACTCGTTTGTGGTGGTCGAGAATGAATATGCGAGACGGAAAAATAACGCAAACGCTCTGCGTGAAGGTGAAGTATCCCATTCATTTTGAAAAAATGTTCATATCATCCCTTAGTTGTTGTTTGAGAAAAAGCTATTCACAAATATCGATATGGATTCCATATTATGATTATTGATTAACTTTGACACCATTTTTATTCGCAGGCTTTATGTGGCATCGTCAATTAGTGTTTCGATCAAAACTCACAATGCACACTGCGTATGATCGCAAAGACAATACTGAACCAGCTAGTATAACCGCATTGGCCGTGTCAAAAGATCATAAAACCTTATACGTGGGCGATGCTAGAGGTCGAGTGTTCTCGTGGAGTGTAACAGAGCAACCGAATCGTGGAATGGCAGACCATTGGCTGAAAGATGAAGGCGCTGATCAGTGTGTAGGCTGTCACGTCAGGTAAAAAAAACTAATTTTCATAAGAAAATTGTCATGAAATTGAAAATTTTTGTAAAAACAATTGTTATCAATTAATTTCAGATTCTCGTTATACGAACGAAAACATCATTGCAGAAATTGCGGTATGGTCTTTTGTAATAAATGTAGCCGCTTTGAATCGGAAATATCACGTTTGCGGATTCTGAAGCCTGTTCGTGTTTGCCAAACCTGCTATGCAGCGCTGAGACAAAATTCAGTCGATTCACAATAAATACAAAAAGTCCAGAGATTGAAGTGCACTCGGAGAAAAAAGCAAGAACAACAAAAACACCATCCTATTGACATACAAATCATTAAGATTACGAATCCATATATATTTAGAGGATCAAATGTAACAATGTATACATCTATAGATTAGACGATTAGAGCCACAGTTCGTGTAAAAAAACAACAACAAACAAACTTATATTTTAGTGGAATGCAATGCAATAATTTATAATCCGTTGTATTGAGAAATGAGATCTATATCAAATAAAATATTTATTTTTTAGTAGGAAAATAAGAACCCACAATAATCGATCGATTGTGTTCTCAATGAAACAATATCTCTGTTTCCGAGAGTGAGAAAGCTTGCGCTATTCCCATCTCATTGATGATGATCTGTGAACAAAATGGAAATAATGTATTTTGTGAAAAACTGTTTTTTTTATCATTTTACTTTTGTATTTTTTGACTTTACTGTTATTTTGAGTGTTTTTAATTAAGATTTTAGTTTGACGTGATATGCAAAACAAAAAATGAAATTCGATTATTTATTTGCTATTTTTAAAATGCTTTGATTGTTTTTATTTTATACACACATTAATGTTGACTAAAAAAAATGAAGCAGAGCCATCTCAAATCGAAATAGAAGCAGAACAATGAGCTACATTATTTGTATTAGTAATAGAATTTGAAAATCTCTCCTAGATTCAAATTCAATGACTAGATCTGAAACGAAAATCGAAAATACAATTTCGTTTTCCCATGTAAATCTGTTTATCAGTATGGGTAAGTTGCGCATGTATTGTAATAGCGTATAATTGTTGTAGTAGAATTCAATTTTGTTTGAAAAAAAAAAACGTGTTTGTAGCTAAATTGTGAACAACAACCAAAACCAATATTTACAAATGAATGTATCAAGCAATGAGTATTAAAAAACAAACCAAAGACACAATAAACGCCCCAAGTGACATTTAAAATATAACTTGTTTTTTTTTTCATTTTTAAATAGGTGATTGAAACATGCAGACCAGTTGAATCGGTTAGAATAATCTTGACCCCCCCAATTTTCCGTAAAATAAAACCGTAACATAAAGTTGGTTTAAAATAGTAGAGAAACATATGTAGAAAGCGTTTAAAATAAAAATGCAACATGTTCAAAGTGAAAATAATAGTGAAACATAGCTATGTTCTCTATTATGTTAACATTCAACATGATTCTCCTTTATTTTAAGAACTGATTCTCACCCGTGTGAAAAAGAAATGACTGACTGACTATAACTTCAGTTGACTTTAGTTGATTGAATTTATATTTTTGTTCTAAGAAAATCACTTGGTCCCAAATGAAGCAACTTAGATTGACTTGTAACTTCAAATGATTTCAGTTAACTATGATAGACTTACACTACACTTTGTACTGAAATGTCAATCAAAGTAAGTCATTTTTGTCCCAAATTAGTTAACTGACTGCTCAGTTACTATTTTTTCACACGGGCAGTGATAACAAACTGATAAGGAATGCGAATCTCGATGTGGCGATAACACCAATAGATTCAGCACACCGAATATTGCATTAGAATCGGAAAAAGAATTCGAACTTTTTTTTCGATTTTCGGGTGTGTTGCGACCGTCTACATGGGAAGTTTGTATGAAAACCTCGGAGCGCCAGTGAGACAACATTAGACTAAGAGCCAGTGATAGTAGACTATCACCTCATAAAATTCCTGGATCATAGTACTAATAAAATGATTTAGTCAACATAACAAACAAGAAAGTATTTTAAAGCACAAGAAAAAAATATGTCCTTCTTATTAATCCGCGCTCCTGGATATTTACCAAAAAACATGACAATAAAAAATTAAAATTCCCGTATGATATTTTTACAACAAGTTTATTGAGGTAAAAAGAGCACAAATTCAAAATATCAGCATTTAATTTTTTGTCTATACATGTGAATTTGAGCCATTCTGTTTAGCTGGTCCGAGCCTCAAATTTGCTTGGTTTTGACAGCTGTATATTGTACATTGGTACGATGAGTGCGTACATTTTCGGTAGCCGTTTGAGCATTCGCAACCCAAATAACTCATTTTTGTATATTTTCGAGATAATTTCGCCCAAAAATAGTTGAAATCGCTATATGTCTACTCGATTCACAACTACTGGAAAAATCCGTAGATGGAGTTAGGCGCCCGTACCAAATATAATGTATTGAAACTCCATATACATGCTCGGAGTATGTGGTAAATCTAAATAGTCAAGTAAAAATTCACACTAATAAAATCGCTATGCTGTAGTTATGCTCACACTGATTGTCGTTCAGAAATGAGTGTGACCCATACATTTGTGAGCGACAATGAATGTGGCATATATTTAGATTGTGTAGTGTATGTATGTAACACTCGTTGACGCTCACAAATGTATGGGCCACGCTGAATTTTGGACGACAATCATTGTGTACACACTCCAATCCGATTTCCTGGCACGTTAGAGCAAACGAGTGTACAATATTGTTTAAAAGAGAGTGAGCGATAAACACACAAATTGACACCGAAATTGCTTTGCACTCGACGCCGAGATCTCAGTGTCTAGTGTCCACTCTCTGTATGGTAACCGAGCGAAAATTTTGCTACTGAATTGCCACCAGAAACCAATGAGAAAAATGACTAGAATGACGTTTGGTTTGACGCCATCTGCAAGGTGGAAGTATTTTGCAATACAAATACGTTCTATTGTTGTTGTCATTGGTTGCTGTCATTGATAGTTGGCAGTATATTTATAAAGAAGTTTCATAGTTCAGCGTGTACCGTCAAGATGTCGCTTAAATATAGCATAAACATGTGCTCCATATAAAAACATAGGCAAATTTTATCATTGCAGAAACCATTAATCTGAAAATCTTCTGAATCTGTCGGAGCACTTCTGAATGCTTTTGAATAGCTTCCAAAATGGACGAATCTACTGAAAATGAGTAATCCCAACCAAAAATTCACACTGAATCGACGTTGCGTTTACACATATCTGACACTGTTTTCACACGGTTTTGAACGTCAAACCGTGTGGCTATAGTATAGTAGAGTTTGAAGTCGTTTGACACCATTTTTGATGTCAACTCTTGATACCTGAACAAACTTACACTGCATCCACACGGTTATTCGAAATCAAAAATGATGTCAAACGGCTTCACACTCTATTATACTATAGCCACACGGTTTGACGTTCAAAACCGTGTGGGAACAGTGTCAGATATGCGTTAACGCAACTTCAATTCAGTGTGGATTTTTGCTTGGGAATGGTCCGCGGACAGTCGCGATTTTCGCGAAGCTGATCAAAGATAGAGGTTTGGTGTCTCCGGCGAAGTTGTAGTACTCGTAGTCTTCTATAATTTTGCTCAAGACTGCTATGTCTTATCTCTCATCAGTAAGGCGCAAATCAAAAACTCGCGCATATAGCAAGGTTTTTTTGCTTATCATTTTTCGCGTTTTCCACGAAACTGATAAGAGATAACTGATAACTGTCTAGAGCGAAGTTGTAAAGAACCTCATGCACTATACATTTTCTTGAAACGTTAGGTCGTTATCTCTTATCAGTTCCGCGAAAAACAAGGTAAACCACGACTGTACACCAAATTTCGCGTTTTTCGAGAGCTTAAAATTTCCAACAACTCCCAGTTATCTCTTATCAGTTTCGCGAATAACGAGTGCAAAGCAATTCCGAAAGAGACACCAACATTTCTATATACAAACACTGTATTGTATTTTGGCGCTTTGAAATCTCTCCACACCGCATCTGTCATACGCCGTGCACCTTCATTGTGTTCAATACACAAATTGGCGCACGAATCTCGTGCGCAGACAGCATCAAGTGAAAGTGATACAGAGTCGGGTGCTGTATGGTGAATGAGAAGCAGTTGCTGTATATGTGACGCAGTGAATACATTAAACGATGGCTTTGTGAGTGTGATCGTCACACATCATCTCTCTATTGTTTTGCTTCGCGCTATTATTCAGAGAACACAAGTGTCAAGTGCTCACACCGACGTAGAACCAAAACAAAACCAAACACATTTTTTCATTTGATTCAATTTTCGTGTCATTTTTCGTTTGTATAGTGCCCATTTGAACGGAACCGATGGATATTTTGGTGTTAATTCTAAATTTCGAAGAAAAATCGGTTCAATAATCAAAAATTTCGTAGAAATATTTCAGTTTTGTGAGTGATGAAAGAATAAGAGGAGCATTTTATTCAATTGTGTACGCTGTGAAAAAGAAGTGCCATAAAAATGCCAGTCATTTTACCATATCGCATCGAATATTCAACCTCAGAGGTTCGATGCAATAAATGCCGTAAGTCCATTCCACGAGACACCATACAAATCGGCATCATGCAACAGGTGAATAAATTAGATCCCATGCGAAGAGTTACAAATGTTGATTTCAAGTTGATTTTTTCATTCTTTTCAACAAATATAGAGCAAGACCGACGATTGTATGAAGCCCGAATGGTATGACATGGAGTGTTTTCTACAAATTCGACGGCCAGTTTCAGTGGACTTCATCGATGGATTCGCCAATCTACGATACAACCATCAACTGCAAATTCAATCCAAATTAGGTGAGAAAAAATGCTCAAGTTTTTCAAAAATGTTAAAGTCTTTTCCGTGCATTTTTTGTGATCGCTTTTCAATATGTGTTTTTTCATGTGTTGACCTAATGAGACGTCAATAGGCATACAGCCGGCATTGTATAGAATACTGTGGAGTCGTGTGGAGTAATCAATCGCGCGATTCAGTCGTATTTATCTATTAGCAACGTTGACTGTATGCAATAAACAATCAGACTTTATGTAAAGTAAGAGAATGGAAGAGAACGAAAGAGAATAAAAAAAACTCAGTTGCTGCTCTCTTTCTCTCTCGTTCGTGCAAAAAAAAGTGTAGTTCATGCACATTCGTGTTTCGTGCATGCGGTTTGGAATACAACAAAAACGTCGGTTTGTTCATCGCACGCGACACTTCTACTGATTACGGTTTCTCATGTCCGGCTATCGCCTAATATATTATTATTAGCAATTCGATCAGAACAAATACTGCATAATTGAAAGCAAAACACTTTTGTGTACGAAAAATATTTTCAAAAAAAATCGTTGAAAAAAAACATAGAATTCTCATTGTGTTCAATTAACTCACATTTTCCCCCACAATTTTCTTCCTACATCAGGCGTCGATGTCAATGCTAATGGAATAACAGCGACCGGGCAGCCACTATCGAACGAAGCCGATACCGCATATGCGGCATGGATGGAAAAACAAATCAAATTCCAAAGCAATGACTTCTTCAACATTCATGACCAGCTCAAGAAGCGCAATTCCGTCAATTTTATAGCCACACTGAAGGCAAACAATCAATTTGTGCCAGAACGTTTTTCCGATGTGCCAGAACGTTTTTCCAATTGATGTGTTCAATTGATTCATTTGTCAAATATTCAAAAAAAATTTCTTGCAGATATTAAATCACCTCACCGACATCATATGTTTTGGTGCGTTAGCACCGTGTTTGTGTTGCAAGGCTCCGTTTATCGATGCACCGGGTACGATTCGCCGTGATCGTCGTGCATCAATTCAGTCAAAGAGCCTCGACGTGTTCCAGTCCAACTGCCGGAAAAATTTCGAGAAATATTGATTGACGAACCCGTGGTTTGCACACGCATTCTTCTCGATGCCATTCAATTCAATGACGACGACTTTGAGTGGGTAATTTTGAGTGATCTTCTGATGCTTTTTTGATGAGTTCATAATTTCTATCGATAATAATCGGTTATTCCCTATTAATCATCAATTAAAAAAAAATTTATCTAAAAAATTCTTTGAAAATATTTCGAAACTAATTCCACTACTTGTGAGAAGAAAATAACGAAGGAAATGTAAATTGACTTAATTTGAAACCATTTGGTTCAAACCAAAAAGTGAGCTAAGGAAAATAGCCAATGCCACAAAAACATAAAAAATTGTCTGAATTTAACCACAAATGAATTAAAACAAATTAAATGCCCTAGAAAAAAAATGAATTGAAAAAAATACATCAGAAAATCAAGAAAAAAATAAACTGATGGCAAAATTGGACCGTCAAGAAAATTTAGAAAAATTCAATAAAAAAATAAAAAATAAAATAATTTCATTTTCTTCTCGTCTTTACAGGCTATACACAAAGCAACCACTGTTCAACATGGAATTTTTCATTGTCGGCGCCACAAAATTGCCACGAAAAGACATCGAACACAAGATTCAGGCCATGGGTGGTAAAATGACATCAACGATTCACGGATATTTGGCTGCAGTCATTTCGAATGCCGAAGAAGTGCAAGTTGGCGAAGGAATGATAAGAGAGGCGTTCATTCAACGAATCCAGGTGATATCAGACGATTTCCTCAACGAAGTCATGGACCACCATCCAATTGAGGTTATCGCTCGAAGTAATTTGAGCAAATGGGGAAAAGATGTACGTTTTTTTAAATAAACGGAAATTATTGCATTGTGTTTTCGATTGATATGATTGATTCAATCGAAAATTTATCTATTTTTCTCAAACAATCCACATTTTTCCTTGTTGTTGTTGTTATTGCAACATGTTTCCAAACTACTAATCAATTTTTTCCACACAATTTAGCCATACAAACTAATGCCCGAACGAAAGCCCGCCGCCACCCAACAGAGCACCACAAATGCGAATCTTTTCAATTTGGATCCAAAAACTGTGCTTGAAAGTGAATATGGAAAAATTTACACTAGCGGCAATACCAGATACGAAGTTGTGTTGGACTTTGTCGATATCAGTTCAAACAAAAACACGTACTTCAAGATGCAACTGCTAGACCTTTCAACTCAAGGTGACAACTCAAGGTGAGACTGTCTGAAACCTGACATTTTTAGAGTCAGAAAGAAACAACGTAAATTTAATTGCGCAGAAGATTCAAATAGATTGTATTTCTCAGATATGTATTAACCGAGTCATCGGGTCGAACTGGAACAAAATTTGTCAACGGTAAACAAAGTCAATCTTATCTAAATTTGGACCAAGCCAAAGCGGCATTCTAGAAAATGTACCTGGAAAAGACGGGCAATGATTTTGGTGCCATCAATTTTGAAAAACCTGCCGGAATGTACAATCAGGTGTCGATTGACAATGAAAGACTGACCAAAGAGTGTCGAAACCCGCAATCGGGTGCACCACCGACAAAACTCTCAAAGCCGCTGTATGAATTGATGCAGCTGTTGTACGGTGATGGCAAGGTGTTCAAATCGACATTGGTGGCATATTGTTTCGATTTGGACAGTATGCCGCTGGGTAAATTGAACAAGACTCAAATTCAGGCTGTGATCAGTCTTTTGGTTACGATCTCATCGTTGCAAAGTTCCGAGAACATCAATCAAATAATTGCTGCATCGAATCAGTTCTACTCGATTTTCCCGCACAGTTTTGGTGACCGCCAACAACCACCAGTGATCAACACGTATGAAATGATCCAAAGGAACATTAATATGCTGCAACATTTACTGCAAAAGGAGTACAGATACGAATTTCTGACCAGCGAATTGAACATGGAGAAAAATCTGCTGGATTTGTGCTACGAACACCTTCAGGACTCGGCCGAAATCACCATGCTGAATAAGGCGTCGGAAGACAAGTAGACTAGAATGATTGCTTTATATTTTTTGTGACACTCATTTCAATTTTCTGTCTGTTCAAAACAACAAATTATTTCTCTCCCATTTACCTCCTGTTTCCACTCCTTTTGGTTGCGTATGTAGTATTCACAGAGGTTGCTCAGCTCAGAGCATTTAAAAACTATAGTATAAAACGTCGTGTATAAATTACGAATTTGCTCGAAAAGACATCGATCGTCCATTTTTGGCAGAGCATACTTAAACAATCAGCTGCCAAGTGCTTAGCACTATTTGAATCAATCGTTGATCTTTGGGAAATTCCGTACTTTTAATTGTTGGTACATCATTTGCTCAGATGTGAACTACGTTTACGTAATTTACATTTAAAATCAAGAATCATTTTGAATCAGTGTTTTTCCCTCTCTTTTGTCTCGAGACTTAATTGCAGTTTCAAATTCATCGAGAAAATGTGGCGAAAAATAAGGAAATGTGACAGACAAAATATATGCACACGAGAGAAATGAAGAAACTAAAGAGAAAACGATTTAAGAAAGAAATAAATAAATAAAGAACGACAAATAAAACTGTTACATTGTTTCAAAAGAATAAACAATTCAAGATAGCAAAATTAAGTGTAATTTATAACGATGAGTTGTCAAATAAAAGTGTCGACTCAAAATTTGAGTCTCAAATACAATTTTGAAATGAATTGGATTCAAAATGAAGTCAATTCTACTCAAGAGAATGCTATGAATTTGTCTCAAAGCTTTGATTCAAAGATTTACATGTAAAATTAACTTCAATTCCAATATTCCATGGAATTTCAAATAAATTCACACTCACACAAACGAAATCACCACTCAATGATCTACGATACTAAAGTTATTTTAATAAACTATTATTTCGATGACCTACGATATAGTTCGCGGCAACGACAGTGGAAAACATGTTGCAATTCGACATGGGACTGTGTAATTTCTTTCCGTTCATCATAATACCATTGACAGGCCTTCCAAATTGTCACAATCTCAACGAAACCCTTTCACTCACACCGGTTCAAGCTTCTTGGCTGGGTAAATTATGTTCAAAAGGCACGCACAGTACATAAGAGCCAATGCAAAAGTCAATTGATGCGCATAAGTAGCGCCACCTCTAATGATTACGGAGAGTTACCATAAGTAGTATGAAATTGATATTGAGAAAAAGAAGAATAAGAAGTAGACATTTTATTCATTTACACGGCAATAATGGCCATCAGTAGAAATGGTGCTCATGTGCCGATCATATCACTGTTACAACCCTTCGATTATGTTTTCGAGCACATGCAATGCGCAATTCATTTTGTTTGAACAGTCGTCGTTATTATAATAAAATAATGAAAATACGATTCAGAAATAGCTCATACGAGCATATATCTAGGGGCAAGACACGGTATCAATTTGTCCTAATTCAACTATTTTGAACGATTTTTCTATTGTTTCTTCTAATTCCATAAGTTTTTGCTAATTTTTTAGTTTTTTCTTCCACACATTTAGTATTACCAATGCATTCCTTATGGAGATTTTTGTTTTGTTTATTTATTGTTGTTTGTAAACAAATCTGCGATCTTTTTGCATTGTCTCTATGTATTTCTTATGGACATATACTATGTACAATGCAATGCGTTGATATAGACAGACTTGTTGACAAATAACGGTAAATAAACAAAACAACCTCCATAAGGAAATGTATTGGCAATGCTAAATGTATGGAACCAAAAAGTTTCAGTCTCTCTAATTTCTGCTAATTTTGCTATTTTTAAACGAAATATCACTATTTTTTTAATCGTGTCTGTCCCCTAGGCATAACTCTAGGGGGATTTAACTACGTGAGAACTTGTAAAAAAATGATATAAACGCGCACGAAATTGTTACATTCACCAGAAAACTTGCATGATTCCACTCAGTTGACAAGTTCCGTATTAAAACAACATGCGCGAACGCGCGCGAGTTCGTGTGCAAACTTGTAGCTGAACGACGCGACACATCAGTCGTTCCATTTATTATATCTGGATTAACTTTTTCTTCAACACTTTCTCCAGCTCTTTAAAAATATTTCCTTTGTCCATTTTATAATTATATAAATCTTTGAACTTTTGGAAAGGATGTGAAAAATCTTTATACACGTAAACAACCGATTTTTAGCTTGAAACGCGTTTTAATTGTCAAATAACAACTTGAAAAACGCGCAAAACCATAAACAAACTTGTGTAAACTTGTGACCGTGCGCGTCAGTACGTACAACGAACGCGTCGAACTCCCGCGAATCAAGCAAACTGGCAAAAAACATGCTGAACTCGTAAGAGTTAAATTCCCCTAGGCATAACTGCTATAGTGTGTAATTGGATGAAAAATAATTAAAATTTCAAAAGTTGTATACATCCATAAAGTGTGTGTTCTTCTAAATTTTTACTGCATTTTAAAAAATATAGGGGAATTATGTGTAGGTTGACCCGCACTAATCATTTTAGTCATAACTTTTTATGGAATGAAGATAAATGGATAGAGAGCCGAAAAAGCTACAATTTGATCAGGAAATTCATTAGTTTCAGTTGTGAAAACAAAAAATTTCGGTCAATTTTCTAAGAGGTCTGATTTTTGGCAACAAAATTTTTTCTTTGTAAGTTGACCCACCCTATTTTTTTTTTAGAAAAACATGCAGTATAAACACTCAATATATGAAATTCATTTAATTTCGTTGGATTTTCAATCGTTTTCGGTCTTTACAACTACGGAAAACAATGAAAAATGTAGAAAAATATAGAAATTAACGCATGAGAATATTCTTGACCTGCGAAAAAAAGTTCGTTCCGAAATGCCTCATACATTCGTATAGCAACAAAAGAGACTCAAGAAAAAAGTGAGCATAAAAGTGATTATGGGGCACTTTTATTCTCACTTTATTCATGGGACTCTTTTATGCAATACAAATGTATGAGGCGTTTTAGTTGTGCATTTTGACTTGAGGCTTTTTTATGATAATTTTGATAAAAAGGAATGCGAATTTCGATGTGGCGATAGCACCAATGGATTAGGCACAATACATACTGTATCAAATCGAAAAAAAAATTAAACTTTTTTTTCGATTTACGGCTGTTTTGCAACCGTCTACATGGGAAGTTGGTATGAAAACCTCGGAGCGCCGCTGCTATTGCATTGGCTTCTATGGCCAAATGTACACATGGAAATATCTCGAAAACAGCTGGGTTAATCGGCAAAACGGACCGTGATGTCACTCCCGAAGGGAGTGTAAACACCCGGCTGGTTTGACGGCCTAGAATACAAATCCGGTGGAATTTGGGCTGATCCATGGATTCTCGGGATTCGACCTGATTCTAGCACTTCAATTTCTTTCATAACAAAACATAGGTAGAATGTGTTTACAGATGCACATAAAAAAGGAAGCACTGGAATCTGGTCAAATCCTGAGAATCCATGGATCAGCTGAAATTTCACCGGATTTGTATTATAGGCCATCAAACCAGCCAGGTGTCTACACTCCCTTTAGGGAGTGACATCACAGTCCGTTTTGCCGATTTACCCAGCCGTTTTTGAGATATTTCCATGTGCAAAAATTTAATAATATTATATTCAATTGCATTGGCCTATATGGAAAAAAACT